CCACTTTTTCTTCTAACAGATTTAGTGTGTCTGCTTTTATCAGAAGATGGAAAGAGCTTGGCTACTTTCAAAAATCAAATTCATCCCCAGAGGACAAATAATTACTCTTTTGAAGTTGTTTTCCCAGAATGTGAGGCAATTCTTGGGTAGACACTTTCATGACCCATGAGCAGAAGAAAAAAAGCTTTAGATTCATTCAGGACTCTGGTCACAAGATCCACAGCATGGTCAGGGATGTTAACCACGACCCTCTCCCCTCTCAGGCCAGCTTGTGGTCCTGGTTAGAACCAAAGGGCCATCCCATGGCCTAGGAATGAATGGTTCCTAGCACACTGACACAACCAAGGAGGTCCAGCCTTCTGCAGGCCTTAGGAAACCCTGGTTTAAATCCTAGCTGTGAAACCTTCACAGATTTGAACAATTAACTCGTATTTTATATATATATATATATATATATATATATATATATATATATATATATAATTTTCTTGGATAACGTCTGCTAGAAATCATAAATGTAGTGAGGTGTTGTTGTTTTTTTTTTTTTAAGTTTATTTAGGCAAAAAGATGCTTGACTTGCAGAGAAAGCTGTGATTCATTTTGCACCGCTGCTTTAAAGGCAGATTTCCTGACATGTTAACAGCTATGTGTAAAAACATTAGAAAACATCCCTTGGTTTTTACAATGAGAAAGACATTAAAATTCTCCAATTAAACCTGGAAAACAAGAATTTTTGTTTTGGGCTTTGTTGTTGCTGTTGGTTTTGTTAAAACAGTGAGAACAAAGTAACTTAGTGGACTATAAAGAGCCAAATGGCCATGCCACTAAGAAAGAAAGGGGCTATTTTCACAGAACCAGCACTTTCCTCCATCCTGCTTCTACTTAATTTCAACCAAAACAGAACACTGGCCATCCTGAGTCTTTGTTTTGCGTTTTAAGAGGGAAATAAATGCTTGTGCACCATATGCCGCGTGCCGGTTGCTTTGTGTGCAGCACAGTAAGATTAGGGAAGGACAATGAAGGCACAGAAAAACCAGTACTGTGGTTGTCAGGATGTGCTACAAACAAATTGTGACTTCCTAATGGAGAATGTTATTGTCTATGACAAAACCCTCACATGGACTTTTCCTTTCGGTAGACACCTCCTGTCTGCTGCTGGAACGCATCCATATCTACATTCCCCTCTTCCAACTTCACAGGCAAGTGTTCCGCTGATGCGCTGCCATCAAATTGGAATCCGATGGTCCTCATGGACAAACCCTGTGGCTCACAATAGGCTTTCATTAGCTCAGTGGTGTCTGCCTCTTAACCTAACCCGTACCACAGAAAAATCTGCCCTGCCACCTTCAGATTAAATGAGACCATTGTTCTGAGTCTCCAGTCTTCCTGGTTTCTCATTGGCCATGGCAGGCACTGGACTATCTTCTATGTCTGCTTCACAAAAGAAGTACCATGTCCACAGTGAAGGAACACACAACTAACACCAGCAGTAGCTGCACAAGGTGGTGCACTGTGGGCCAGATAGAGGATTGGGCTGGTTGTGCACAAGGTTATTACTGTTTTTCTCCCCAGTACTGGGTTGGACCTAGAACCTTGTGTGTGCTGGGTAAGCGCTGAGCTATCGCCTCAGCCTTTTCACTTTTTGAGACAGTGTCTTAAGTTCCCAGACTGACCTCAGCTTCCCTCTGTGGTCCAAGCAGACCTTGATCTTGCAATCTTTCTGCCTAACTGCCAACTATAGTTCTGGGTCACCAGACCAAGCTAGTTTGGGGATTTGTTTTTGAGACAATCTCCTGTAGGCTGAGTTGACCTTAAATTCCTGATCCTATTACCTCCACCTCTCAAATGCAACCATACCCAACTTAGGCCTACTCTTTTTTAAAAAATTTTAATTAATTATAATTTATTCACTTTGTATTCCCCTATAGCTCTCTCCCTCCTCCCCTCCCAATCTCACCCTCCCTCCTCCTTCTCCACCCATGTCCCTCCCCCAGTCCACTGATAGGGGAGGTCCACTGAGCCTAGTCTATCAGGTCTCATCAGGAGTGGCTGCACTGTCTTCCTCTGTGGCCTGGTAAGGCTGCTCCCCCCTCAGGGGTGGGTGATCAAAGAGCATTAGGTCCATCTTGGTAATCTTAAATTCACATCAAGACTATTGTAACAAATGGGATGCCAGTGTGTCAAAAGAGGTCTCATAGTCTAACAACTTTTGACATGCACAGATTATTAATCAGGCACTCTGGGGTTAATCCCAGCTCTTCAACTTGGTAGAAACTGACCTCAGGTAAGCTGCTCGAGGGATATATACTCCCCCGGTCTTCATCTATAAAATGGGGATTACTCTCTTCCTTGAAAAAGCTATGCTAAATGAAGTAAGCTCTATACCTAGTGACTACTGGGTATAGAAAGACGATGGTAAGACCCAGTTCCTATCCTCGAGTTGCTCAGAACCTGGTAGGATGTAGGAGAGCCAGTCCTGGAATCAACTATTGCAACAGATGCAGCAGCAGAGACGCTCATGGTTCCAGTCGAGGAGCAGGCAATGGTCACATCCACTGAAATGCCTTGCAGGAGTAGGAATCCTCATGTGGTGGCAAGGGCACACACAGACTCAGGGTTGTTCCAGCATGCCCTTTTGTGGACCAGAAGTTGCATGCTGCTCTTGTGAGGAGCTCAGACTGGAGCTTTCCAAGGGCTCAGCAGCTTACAGTGGTATAACCTTGAGTCTGGTGCTGACCTCTTCATTCCTCTGGAAAAAAAAAAAAAAAGAGTGTAATGGTCCCTATGAGGAGGTGATGGGGAGAGGGGTTAACAAATGAAAGTTTATCGACGTGCTCATTATTATGGTGAATACAAATTATGTGTTGTTTAAGTTAAATGAAACTGTTACTAGTTAAGGTTAGTCCATCTGACCACAAACAGGAATACAGAAGCAACCAGAGACGGCTGGCAATAGCAGGCTTGGTACAGCTCCCAGTTCCAAAGCACAGCTAAGCTGAAGGGTCCTTAGGGAAGACAGCCAGCCAGTTGCCACAAGCTGAAACCCATCCAGAGGATAACCCTCAGCACACCTGACCCATCACCACACACTGTTCCCTGCCCGGGTGGGGGCAGGTCCACAGTTGGTAATGCCCCAGTGGGTCAGTTGTTGTCTCAGGTGTTGACTAGCATCAAGGAACATGAAGGGAAGCTGACTGTTTACACAACTGCAATATATGCGTGTACGACAAGGCATGCATAAACTCTAGTTACTGAGGAAAAGTTCTATCACTTCACAAGCTAAAGATAAAAGCAAAAAACTATAGGCATGTTATTCACAGTAATCCTTGCTTTTCCCTAGCAGTGAAATAGTTATACTCAAGTCTTAAAACTTAGAATTCTATTGCAATCTTGAATGTTAACAATTGCAATCCTGTGCTTTAATTATTGACTTTTAACAAATATCTATTTGTGGGCCAGCAAGACAGTAGGTAGGTAAAAGCACTTGCCGCTGAGCCTGACAACTTGAGATTGGTCTTCCAGAGCCCATACAAACAGGTCCTGAAAACTGTCCTCTGACCTACACACACACACATACACACTATAGACAACAGACAGATTGAGTATAATTTAAGATATATATTTGCTGGAAGAATAGTTGAATTAGCTTAATGAGTAATCTTAGGTGTGTCAAGGATATGGCTATTTATAATTTATGACTGCCCTTTATACTTTTAAAGGGCAATTAATACTTAATACTTAAGTGCAATTAATACTTAATTTAACCTTGTTTTGTCTGTGATACTTAAAAAGTTGTCATTTGACTGTGGTTAACAGTTGTCAGCCTGGGTATGCTCAGTGTTATACTTCCCTCTAGTGGTAAATATAGAAACCTACAGCCTTAAGAGTTTTGTTTTGTTTTTTTGACATCTGTTGCAACACTGCTTTTATATACTTTATCTGTAAACTGTCTGAAATGCCTTCAGCAATAATTCAGTTAAATGAGTAGGCTAAAATTTTATAAGTGTTTAGAGTGTTTCCCCTGGTTAGAGTGTGGGCTGGAAAATCTTCCTGGATTCAAATCCTAGCTCATCATAAGTTCCAAGACCCTGAGAGATCAAGTGTATTCGTAATTCCCTATGCCCAGTTTCTCATCTGCTGAGGGAGGCTAACAAAAGCCTACACCCATTTTACTGCTGTGGGGATTACAAGAGCCAATATATGGAAAACACTAAGAAACGCCCTAAGTCATTCAAAATAGAGACCCTGTTGCGTGATGGTTTTTATTTCTGAGTTCTTTACCATAAAAGGTTAATAAATAAAAGTGATGGGCAGATTACGCTCTTCTGAAAGCAGAGAAGAGTGCACAAAGTGGGTGGGTGCTGAGTCCCTGTGGACCTCCTGCTCCCTGGCTGTAGCACAGGCTAAAGCATGTAGGGAAACATGCAAATCTGTGGATCATATTAGCATACAGATGAGGAGAGAATGTCTACTGCAAATTATGTGCTTCATTTGCATCTTCCAAGAAGCTCTAACTACACCATGTAATGGAAGTTTTGGTTTCCTTAAAAACTCAGTTATGTAAATGCTTTTGTTTTAATAGCAAGTGTGGGATTTTAGTTTGGGCTTTAGTTTGTCCACAGCTGATAACTGCTTCCTGCAGGCTGTGGTCTTTGTCATACAGCATGGAAAGGGGTATGGTCTAGAACTCTGAGGAAGAGACCATGGTGTAGCAGTTTGGAGGCTTGCTGTGTTTGCTGCTGACAGAGATTGGTATGGTCCAAAAAATCCCATCAACCTTAACAGCCTGGAGAAGTAAAGCAGTCTGTACCCCCTATCCCCCCTAACCTTCTCTCTCTTACCTGGGGGTAAAGGGTTGCAGAAGGGAAGAAGAGGCTTAAATACCCACCCCAAAATAGAATTTAAAAACGAGTACAACCCCAAAAACTTGTCACAAAGAAATCAGACTTAATATAACTTGAATTGTTATAAAACTCAACAAGTTCAAAAGATCCATTTATTAACAATATGTTTACCAAAGAGAGGGGGTACAGATATAATAGAAAACAGAGGAAACATGCCAGGCACATGTGTGTGCAAAGCCAGTGTGAGTAACTTATCAAAACTCTACTTCTACCTGCGGCACTTGACAGTCAAAATAACTTACTACCTCAAGATTTTGGAAATTTCAATCCTACATGACTAAAACTATGCTTATCTCAATGAAAAAAAATTATCATCTCTTGGTCACTGGAAATCTCCAAGTTGCTGAAGGCCAAATAAACTGTATCACACCAGTTTACAAAACTGAAAAGCACTTAAGTTAGAAGCCGTAATTTTAGGAAAATCACTGAAGCATATATTTCATTTTCAGTAGCACTCTCATACAGTGGGGGATCTATACACCCAACTCTCTTCAGTCGCCAGTTACATGCCAGATCTTCCAATGTTTAAATGTCTTCCTCAGGCTGGGCGCAGAGAGGTTCCAGAGTACAGCTTGATCACCCTAAAGAGGTTATGATTCTCTGAAAGGCAGCGAAGGACACCACACAGCATGCCTGGATCTGTCCTTCTGAGTGTGGGCACAGGTTTCACTTCCAATACTTTAGATAACTGCTCTTACATTATCACCTTCCCTTAGATCACGGACTTTCTTTTGGAGAAATGTGACATCAAAACTGAAACAAAGCAAATGTTTAACAGAAAAATTAATAAAATGCTAAAAAAGGAAAGATAGAGGGAGGGAGGAGACAGAGAGCAGGAAGGCAGGCAAGTTCCAGATGATCCTTAGAGGTTTCATTCATTCAACAACAAGCAATGAGTAAGGTGTACAGGGACTGTGCTTAGAGCTGAGGGCTCAAAAGTGAGTAAAGTTCACTTGGGTTCATGGTCCCAGTTCAAACCTGGCAGCCATTAGGAGCATATACCATAGCAGGAGTGCAAAGAGGGGCAAAACCACTCCCCTTTTGAGCAAGGAATTAGAAGACAGAGCCAGAAGGGGCCAGGTTCCCTCAATTCCCTTTACAATCATGACCCCTATGACGTGAGGCCGTTGTAGTAGCGCACACCACCAGCCAGTTACCACTGTGCTGTAAATACAGACCTCTGGGGGGATCTCACCCACATTAAAACCAAAAAAGGTTACAGTCAACAACAGTGTGACCCCTATATCCAGCCTGAAACTAAGTGCTATTGACGTACGTAAATAAAAAAAGATAAGTCTTTGGGGCTGGACAGATGGCTCAGAGGGTAAGAGTACTGGCTGTTCTTCCAAAGGTCCTAAGTTCATTTCCCAGCAACCACATGGTGGCTCATAGCCATCTATAATGAGCTCTGGTGCACTCTTCTAGACTGTAGACATATATGTTTTCTGTATGAATAACAAATCTTAAAAAAGTAAGTCTTCTATCATGCTTGCAATTAAAAAGAAAACAGGTAATGGCTCAGTCAGCACAGGCACCTGCATTCAGGCATGAGGATGGGTTGAATTACCAGGACCCACAAGAGGATTTCCCCAAGTTCCAGGCCGGCCTGGGCTATCATGTGAGATCCCACCTCAAATAAATAAAGAATAGAAAACAAACAGTGTATAACCTATCTAATACAAGTATTTCAAGATACCTGTGTGAAAAGCCCAACCATAAAGAGCATACTTGAGAAAAAAAGTTAATGCTATACAACCACAACTCACCCTTGAAGTTTCTGGACTAGAAAATGGAGAATACTCCCAAGATCTATTTTCGTTGTCAAAGGAATCATCTAGAAATGCAAACTTCTGCTTAAGTGCATTAGATATTACAGACACTGGATCCCATTGTGAACTTTGTCTTTTCTTCTTTTGAATGGGTCTACCCCCTGGTGACCTATTTTAAAAAAAAACAAATACATTAAAACTTTGATGCAATTTTAACTCTTTGTTCACAAACACAGCAGTAATATAAGCATATTATAATCTAATTAGTCTTCGAGAGATCTCTGCCATGAATTAAGAATCTAAATAGAGTTTTAAAAAATTCAAAATAAGAAAACCAAGAGAATACATGGGCTGGGGGTTCCCACAACCTGTCATGACCCGAGGTTCCTCATTTTCACTGCTACAAACCCTAACTTATAACTTTAAATTTCCCACTGGAGAAGTCACTGGGTAGACAGGCCGGCTGGCCTTGAACTTGTGATCCTGCTTCTGCTATCCAAGCATAGGGAATATAGGCATGTGCCATGATGTCTAACAGCACTGAATAGGAGAATTTAAAGAAATCTTTAAGAATGTCTGAAAGGACTAGATTCCATGGGGGAAAAAAAAAAAACACCATTACCATCATTCATTAATTTGATCGTTCAGCTGGTCTTCACTCAATTACAAGTATTTAATCATGCCACTTCTGGAACTTGTCATTGAATGGTAACCAACCTCAGGGAAGGCAAAATGTTGGGTAGAAGAAAGGACTGTATTCCAAATCCTCTATAGCATAGAATAAGTATAATTAACATACCCAAAACAGTGATGTATGATAAGACCATAGACTAGGAACCGTGGCCACAGATGGTAAAAAATACCCAGATTGCATAAACAATTTCTCTGAAAACAACTGATAAAATTTCAGTTCCTTTCCCAAGTTCTGGTGACACACCTTTCAACAGGGCGAAGTTTGACCTTATTCATGTCCTTTAGAACATCCAACATGTGTGGAACATCACTAACTCTCTGGCTATCATGGGTCTTCTTAACACCTGAGTGCCACTTCATTTCACATGTTTGAGCAGATCCAGGTTGTGGGGGAGGAGAACTTGGAGGCTGGAGAAAAAACTGAGGAAGAGGCGGTGGCGGAGGTGGAGAAGAAGAGGAAAGTACCACACTTGGAAAGTGGTCCGGTTCTCCACTCAGCCCAGTGGTCACTGACAGCGAAGGTGCTTGTTCCATGCTGCACCCATCACTCAAGTCAATGAAGCCTAAAGCAAAGACGTCTGTGAAAATCCCAAACCACACATAATCCTCTGGCACAATATATAAAAGCAGTGAGAATCTAGCCAGTCACAACCTCTGTAATGCTGCTAATACTGACAAGCAGCCAAGACAGCGAGCAAACCCACCTTAGTAATTCCTGAGTGCCCACCTCAAGTTTTAAGTCACTTTTAATCCAGTCAGGGTGTCTCAGGGCACACCCTAAAGCATGCATTATACAGAGGAGATAAAGTGATTTCTAGAAAACCACAGAAAATCTCAACTTCATTCTCCAGTTTTAAAACCAAAACATTAACTTGTAGTTAGATGTACTCAGATTGATGTATCCACTCCAAAATGACATTTGAAAAGCAGGCATATGACTCTACGGGTGATACCCTAAAGTCAGTATTTAATTCTCTTATGAATCTTGTTTTGTTGTTTCTGGGAGAGGTTTACATAAAGTCCAGACTAGCTTCAAACTCTGTGCAGCTACAAATGATCTTGAATTTTTAATCCTCCTGCCTCCACCTCCCAAGTGCTAGAATTACAGTCATGCCCTGCTTTATGTGATACTGTGAATTTAACTCAAAGCCTCATGAACGTGAGGAAAGCACTCTACCAACTGAACTACATTCCCAGACCTTATTTCTGTTTTTTGAGATTTGATCTCAAAGAATGACTGAGAACTCTCAGCAATCCTGCCTCAGCCCCTTAAATGCTGGAATTACAGGCATGAATCACCACTCCTGGCTTCCAGTTCTTCACTGAACAAGTAGCTAAGCTTACCTAGAAGCCATGTCTTCTTAAAACAAATAGCCGTTGGTTTACTCTGAATGATCCTCAAGTCTTTTATGGTGTGTTTACTGTTTACATTCAGAATGGTGCTGACTTAGGCATCACTACTACTCTAGTAGAAACAAAACTCTCAACCACTTACCAGTCTCCTTACCCTCTCTCGGGTCCTGCATTGCCACAATTGCAGCAATCTGAGACCGAAGAAAAGCCAGCTCATCTTCAAGGGCAGCTATCTTTTTAACTGCAGCGTCACTCACTGAAAGGTCATTTTTCACTGGTTTGTTCTGTCTCAGAGCAGGTGATGAAGGGTCCCAAACTAGTTTTGAAGGATGAAAAAGAGCAATTTCCCTTTCCTCCTCCTTCCTCCATACACTATGTCTGTGGGTTAGAGGAAAGAAGAAATAAAGGGAGAAAAAAATGTTCCACTTGAAAATTTCTAGCCCAGTGTTGTGGCACATAGCTTTACTCTCAGCACTCGGAAAGCAAAAGGCAGGCAGCATTCTGAATTTGAGGCCAGCTTAGTCTAGAGATGAGTTCCAGGACAGCCAAGACTACACAGAGAAACCGTAAACCTCATTCAGAATGGCAAACAGGATAGACACCAGCAGCAGTAGAAGAGAGGTAACAGGACAGGAGCCTACTATAGAGGGTCCTCTGAAAGGATTCACCCACCAGGGAATGGAAGCAGATGCTGAAACTCTGCCAAACTTTGGGCAGAGTGCAGGGAGTCTTATGGAAGAAGAGGAAAATGGGGATAGAAGGACCTGGAGGGGACAGGCACCCCACAGGGAAAACCAACAAAGCTAAAAAACTTGAGCCCAGGGAGTCCTGCAGAGACTGATGCAGCAACCAAGGACCATGCATGGAAAGGAACTAGAGCTCCTGCTCAGATGTAGCCTATTGGCAGCTCAGTCTCCATGTGGGTTCCCGAATAAGGGGAGCAGGGGTTGCCTCTGTCATGAACTCAGTTGTCTGCTCTTTGATCACTTGCCCCTGGCGACAGGGCCTTGCCAGACCACAGATGAAGAGGATCCAGGCAGTCCTGATGAGACTTGATAAAGTTGGAGTCAGATGGTAGAGAAGAACTCCCCCTTTCAGTGGACTAGGGGAAGGGGATAGGGGAAGAGAAAGGGAGCGCGGGACCTGGACAAGATGACAGAGGAGGCTATAATTGGGTTATAAAATGAATAAATTGTAAAAAATTAAAAAATAGTTTAAGTTTATTCAGAAATTCTACATCAGGCTCTGAAGGGCATTGCATTCAGTACTATATTGGGGTCGGATAATATCTTTTAAATTTCTGAAAATTAATAAACCAGTTTGACACATAATAAATTTGTTATGCCTGAATTGCAATATCCTAAAAGACCACCACCAGGAGTCAAGTCCATTGCAAAACACATGAGCATCTTTTATTACAAATTATTACAAGCTGCAGCTTGGGCTCACACCAAAGGCCGAAGCAGTGAGAGCCGCCAAAGCAGTGAGAGCCTTGTGCTCAGGTTAGTTGGGTGATTTAAAGATTCCGGTCCCTCCCAGTGTGCCCAAAGCAGGGGCAATTCCTGCCTGGCAAGCATCTATTGGTCGAAACGCAAAAGGGATGTTACATTTTGAATTGATTGGCTATAGGAAGGTCCCCAAACCATTAATGATCTGGTGTCCCTCCCTAGGGGGAATGGGCCAGTTTCCCAGCAACTGTATAATTAGAGGGTGGGGAAAGAATTGCAGTAAGGCTAGTTCTTCCCCTCAGAGCATAACTGGACATGTCTCCACCTAGCTAGCCTTAGTTCAGGCCTTAAACTTTAAAACAATACCCACTGATTTTTAAGTCTTTGGTCTCTCAAATTTAGAAAGCATCTTTGACTAATTGACATTCACAATGCTAAAAGCCTCTACTTGAATATTCTAATATATGTCAGTACTTCCTAAAAGAATAAATACATCCAAAATTTGAAATATAGCCACTTCAATATTCAGAAACGCTGCACACACCAAAAGCCAAAGATGCTCAAGTTCCTTATACAAAATGGCACAGTATTTACATTTAACCTACACATACCCTTTGTTTATTCTAAGTTATTTCTAAAGTACTTGAGATACCCAATTCAAGACCTTTAGGTCACGTCATTTTTGTAAATCCAGCATAGTATCTGAAATACAACAAACTCTAGCTTTTGCTTCTAGGAAATTTCTGGATTTTTCTCCCTAAATATTTTCTATCTATGGTATTTGATTTCATGGTGTAGAACCTATATGGGAACCCATGGGTACAGAGCCCATGTAGAAATGATGATTGAGGGCTGAATGCACAAATCTAACATTTATTTTTAAATGCTTTATTTATAATACAGAAAAATTACTATGATGCTGATACCCATTTGATGAGCCACTCCCTCCTAGACCTTATATTAGTTTAAATATGCACAAAGTATTCAAAAGCTCTGCTGACACCTCAGTCTCATCCCACCTGTCTTGGGAGATCTCACCCAAACACTCACACAAGCCTTTATCAGCAATTCTAGGACTTCCTACCTGGTCTGAAACCAGTCCAAATATGATAACAGAGAAAGCAAAACCAAACACCCACTCAACATAGGTAGACTACAAAACTCCCATCAATTCCACAACTTAACTCCAGATGCCCAAGGCCTTGTTGCAAAATATAAGCAATATGAAAACATCACCAATCTTCACCAATCCTATAACAATATTCCTTAGCCAAAACAATTCAAACGAATCTCAAGACAAAGAATTTAAAAGAGCAGTTGTAAAGAATTCAAATATCTGAATGGAGTTACAGGACAAGAATCAATGCCTGACTGAAGCCCAAGAAACACAACAAGTGAAATAATGAAGCAATTCAGGACAGGAAATTAATTCAGCAAAGAGTGAAAAAATGCGGAAGGAAATACAAATAAAGACGGAAACGAAAAATTTAACTACCCATTCAAAAGACTCAGTGAAAAGCCTTGCCAGTAGAATGGATGTGGTAGAAAACAGTGTTGGGAGATAGAGATAAAAGAGATAGAGGAACTGGACCATGCAATCAAATAAAATGGTAAATTAAAGAAAGGAATACACAGGAACTTTGGGATACCCTGAAAAGAGGAAAATCTGTGAATCATCAGAATAGAAAAATTCCAGGCCAGAGGCACAAAAACATCATAGAAGAAAATTTCCTATAACTAAGTAAGAAGATGCCCATTCAGAGCCAAGAGGTACACAGAACACACAATGGATAAAAAAGGAATTTCCGTGCAATATTATAGTTAAAACACTAAATATACAGAGAAAAAGAAATGATACACACCCTTCAAGAAAGAGATTACAACTCAGATAAAGGCAAACCCACTAGAATACCAGCTGACTTCTCAATGAAAATTTTAACAGCCAAATGATCTTGAAGCAATATACTGCAAGTCCTAAAAGACAATCCTCCCAACCATGTACATGCAAAATTAACTGGACTCAGTAGACATCTCTCTCACACACACACATGCACGCGTACACACATACACACTGTCTCTCTCTTTCTCTCTCACACACACACACTCACACAAGACAACATGAAATTGGAAAGAGAGTAAAGAGGACATAGGAAGAGTTAGAGTAGGAAGGTGAGGGATGATCTGATCAAAATAAAATGCATTTATGCATCAAGGGGAAAATCATTTTCGAAAATTTAAACGCAAAATCATTTTTTTAATATATACTAAAGAATGTCTAGAAATCAAGATGCCATCAGCCATCCATATTAGGAAAATATCAGAATACAGCATATCACAAAAATAGAACAAAAATCTCCAGTCATTAGGAACAAACTTCAACGCATGAAAAGACTAAAGTCTCACCCATATCCCAAAGCAAGCATATAAAATTACCGAAATCTGAGGCAGCTGGCTTCTTCATCACTTGCCACACACAAAACATCAGCAAAAGATGGAACCCCAGGTTCATAATCCTCAGACTCCTTAGAGTTCATCAAGTGCATGAGCAACTAGGACAAAAATAAGAACAAAGTCAGAGCACCACAGGAAAGGAGAGAAATCACCTGCCTCATGCTCCCTCATAGTAAATAAGTTGACAGTCCAAAGCAGAAAAGGGGAAAAAAAATATGCAATAGAAATGCACACACCTGTTAGCAAAGGAAAAAGACACCATCACATAGCAAAAATATACAGCAAGATAAAAACAAGACCAGGTACTCTTTGTACCTGTCTCTGAATATAACTGAAGGAACAAACGTGTGTGAGGTGAGTTATCTGTAAACTAAAGGTCCTTGGCTTACAGGCACACTCCTTCCTTTATCCTTCTATCCTAAATCCCTGGAAATGCCTAGTATTACTTTACACACACAGGGCTTACATAATGCATGGAGACTACCTTACCTCAAAATTAGGTCTTCGACAAGGTTCCAAAGGAAGCATTCTCCCAATAATACGAATGATACTCCGAGCTGACCCATAGTCTCTATTTTGCCAAATCAGCAAGTCCTACAAATAGGGTTTGTTTAAAATATACCCCAGTTAAGTATGTTTATATATCTAAGAAAAAAAGAGATGCAACAGGTGTAGTAACATTTATTTCTACAAAGAAAACATAACAAGCATACTCTTAAAGTAGAGACTTAAACTTCATTAATATTTATCTTGAAAAAGCACTACAGTATGGGCTTAGGAAAACAGTTTAGTCAATAAAATTTAACATGGCTACATGAGATCCCAAATGTGATATCCAGAACCCATGTTTAAAAAAAAAAAAAAAAAAGCCGTACATGCGGATGTACTCCTGTAATCCCAGAACTGGGAGGCAGACATCAGCAAATCCCTGAGGTTTCTTAGCAGCTTGGCTAAATTGGGGCCTGTGAGAACCTTGTCTCATAAAACAGAGGGGGTGCGGGAGTGAGAGGCTGAAGAGATGGCTCAGCAGTTAAAAACACTGGGTTTGATTCCCAGCATCTACATGTTGGCTCACAATCTGTATGCCCCTGATGTCCCCCTCTGGCACACAAGTGGTGCAAGACATATATACAAGTTTGCAAGACATAGGCAAAATGTACATCAAATAAAAAAGATTTAACAGACTAGTCAAAGTCCCAAGGAATGACCTGTGGCCTCCACACCCATGCAAATGGAAACACATTCTCACACTGGATCTACTATCTGTGGTGAGTGTGCATGGGTTGTCTACCTCCACCCCAGCACTTAGGAGACAGAGGCAGGGTGATCGAAAATTTGATCACAAAAGATGTTTTTAAAATTACCAATTTATGTCGATATCACAAGTACTGGGTCCTCACAAACAGTCCCTTCATGTCAGGTATGTTTAGCCTAAGCAAATAAAGCTACCGCCAATCTGACACCCCCACTACACCAACGCCATTACATGCAATCTCTGAGATCCCACACATCAATGCCAGTCCCTGTAAGCTGAGGTCCCCTCACGCCAATGGCAGGGCATACAAGTGACCTAACATCTCAGAGTTTAATTCCCAAAAACACAAAAGCAAAAGCCAGACTTCTATTTGACATGCTTCATTTCTCATCATCCAAAAATCTCTCTCACCATCTCTCATTTTTGTTCTGTTTAAACTAGAACCCTCTCTTCCTTCCTAGGCTTTTTTATTTAGATTCCCTTTCCCACTACCCTCCAGTATATTGATCTGTCACTTCTCATTTGTATTTCAAACTTTTAACCAGAACTTTCAAATATACTGAAGTTAATTGTGCTAGTGTTTTGTCAACTTGACACAAGGTATGATTATCTGGAAAAAGTGAACCACAATTAAGAAAATGCTTCCATAAGACTGGCCTATAGGCAAGTCCATAGAGAACATTAACATAATGAACATTAGTGATTAGTCAATCACTAATCACAATGATTAACGACTGGTATGGGAAGGTACAGCCCACTAGGGTCAGTGCCACCCCTGAGTTACATGAGAAAGCAGGCTGAGCAAGCCATGGAGAACAAGCCAGTACACAGCACCCCTCCATCCACCCTCTTAGATAGGGTTCTACTGCTGAGAAGAGAAACCATGACCAAGGCAACTCTTATAAAGGATAACATTTCAGCGGGGCTATCAACATGGAGAGAAGCATGGCAGCCTGAAGGTAGACATGGTGCTAGAGAAGCTGAGAGTTCTTTATCTTGATCCAAAGGCAGCAGATTGTGTAACACTGAACATATATGAGACCTCAAAGCCCTGCACAGTGACACACTTCCTCTGACAAGGCCATCCCCCTGATAATGCCACTCCCCATGAACCAAGCATTCAAACACATGAATCTATAGGGGTCATACCTTATTCAAACCACCACACACACACCCCCCCCCGCTTCATTCAGTTCTTGACTTGGATGCCCTTGATGGACTGAAGCCTGTTGGCCAAATAAACACTTCCGTGCCCTAATTTGGTTTTGGTCAATGTTTGATGACAGCAATAGAAAGAAACTAATATCTAAATTCTAAGACTGAAAAGAAAAAGAAACAACAGTGCTGCGCCCTCCAGCTGATGGCTTCTCTCAATTTCTTTTCGAAAGTTTTTTAAAAAAAGGTTACTGACACCACTCCCTTCCTCACATCCTCCAGATTTCTCCAATCCAATCCCATGCCCAAGCACAGAAACTTTTCCTAGAATAGGTAGTACACACCCTCAGTCTCAGCACACACCTTTAATCAGGAGGCAGAAGCAGGGGGGTACAAGGTCCAGGACAGTCAGGACTACATAGAGAAACTGTCTCAGGTAAGGAAAATAGTGGAGAGAGGGAGAGAGAGGGGGAGGGGGAGAGGAAGAAGGGAGGAGGATGGGAAAAGGAGAAAGACAGGGGGAGGAAAAGGGGAAGGAAAGGGAAGAGGAAGAAAGGGAAGAGGAAGAAAAGGAAAGGAAGGCAGGAAGGAAGGAAAGAAGGAAGGAAGAAAGAGAGGTAAATTTTTTTCTGGAGGCACGTTGGGCTTTCTTCCTGTTTGGTTTTAATAGTTTTTGGAGGATTTTCTTGTTTGTTTTTGAGTGGACTTCCAAGATGAGCAGTGACCGCACCTAACTGCATCCATATCACTTTGCCCCTTCCCTCTCCCTGCTCCAACTCCTCTCATGTCACTGTCCCAAATCCATGCTCTCTCCTTTAATTAGTATTTATATATAAATATACGTGTGTGTATATCTACACACACACACATGTATGCATGCACATATGTACACATAACCAACTGAGTCCATTTAGCTTTGACTGTATATACAGATGTCCAGGGTTGACCACTTGGGATAGCATAAGCTTGGGATAGCATAAGCATAAGTTCAGTCCTCAATTGATTCTTCCTCTCAGCAGTCACTGACCATCTGTAACTCTTCCTATAGGGGTGAAACCATGTGGAACTTCCCCTGTCCGAGCTGGCATGTCAGCTGATATTGGGCTTGTTCATACGAAAGGAAGTCAGGACAGAAAAACGGAAAAATGCTCGGGCTGCAGAGATGGCTCAGAGGTTAGGAGCACCGGCTCTTCTTCCAGAGGTCCTGAGTTCAATTCCCAGCAACCACATGGTGGCTCACAATTATCTATAATGAGATCTGGTCCCTCTTCTGTATGCAGGTGTACATGCAGGCAGAATGTTGTACACCTAATAAATAAATCTTCAAAAAAAAAATGCTCTACAGACGTGCCTACAGCGTGATCTTATGAGACAATTTCTCAAGCAGGGTTCTCTCCTCTCAGGTTAAAATAAAACTAGCCAGCACAACTTCTCAGCCCCAATTCATCACCGAAGGAAGTCAGAAACCCCTGAAGCAGAAACCCCAGCTCCAACTCACCTAGCTTTCTTACACAACTCAGAACTCATTTGCCTAAGAATCCTATCCTCCACAGGGCTTGGCCCAATGCACCTCTCAACAATGAAGACAGGACCATAAATCCAATCTCAGACAGGCAGTCCCTTGGGGTTCCCTCTTCCCACATGACTCTAATTCTAAATTGACAATAAAAACTAATCAGGGCAGAAAACATGTTCAAATTACACACCAAAATCCAACCTAGTGGTGTTCATCCTAATCCCAGCCCTTGAAAGGTGGAGAGAGGATTAGGAGCTTAAGAACAGCCTGGGCTACATGATAGTCTGGCTCAAAGCAACAATAATAAGACCCAAGAATAAGTCAGCAAAATCCAGACATTTAGCCTGAGCTACATAACATTCTGACTCAAAACAACAATAATATAAGACTCCAATATAAAGCCAGCAAAATTAAAAGGCATTTACCTGGTCTACGGGAACACCAAAATATGCCAGCATGTTTCTTAATATATTCAGAATGAAAGACATTGGTGAAGCAAGCTCAAGGAAACATTGTTCGTTGGTACCTTAGAAAAGAAGTTATCATTTATTAATATTGCCAAGGAACTGCCATGCAGATCACACTGAAGAGCCTCCAGAGACCTTTCATGATATATTACACTTCAAGTAATTGCTCCTTTGCTCCTGGAGAGCGTTGTCTTTGAAGGAAGACGAAGAGAAAATGTGAACACGGGGGTGGTGGGGGGTCCGAGAGCACTAAAAATGAAACTTCACTACATTACCGGGTGTTTGTGAAGAGGCCCCGACAAGCAGAGGTCCCGGGAGTGCTGCTGCCCCTGGACACACTCGGCTCCGCCCCGCCGCTCTTTCCTCGCCGCACACCTTCCCACTGCACTGCTCCACGCCGGGGCGCCAAGAACTCCGCCGCCGACCGAACCGGGCTCCTCCGCAACGGCTCGCAGCTTCCGCCTGCACAGCAACTCGAGCTCCGCGGGCCGGAAACAGGACGCTGTCCCCATTGGGCAAGACTCCGGGCACCGCTTGTGATTGGAGGTCAGGAGCCAATCGCCGCCATAGGAAGGCGCATGCGCGGGACGCATGCTGTATGTGCTATCAGCTGTTGGACCTTGGAATTCACTCAGGCCTTTGACAGGTTTGGGCCTTCTAAACCCTGCCCAAACGGTGGCACGCCTTTCCAGCATTCGACAAAATTCCGCCAACGAACTTGAGGCTTTTTGGTCATTCTGCGAAAATATTTAGCCGTAAACTAAATGCTGAGATGACTCATCCTGAGCCACAATATCCAGTCGTTTACATGCATTTAGTGTGTTCGTGGCCACCAGAGCACAATTCACAGTACCCGCTTGAACTCAAAGGACAACTTTTGAGAGTTGGTTCTCTCCTACCGTGTAGGACCCAATGATAGAATCTGAGACCTTAGCTGCCTGAGCCATTGAGTATTGAACTCCCTGGACCCCCACTCTGCATCTTTCCCATTTCTCCCATCCTGCCGTCCCATGGGTTCCAAAAATGGAAGCAGGGAGGACATGATCCCTAGCAAGCAGCCATGGGATGACCTAAGTTGGAAGCAGCTCTGCCCGACAGCTCGGGTAGGCTAGCTGTGTCTGAGGCATTTGGACTATCTAATGAGTCCTTGAGTGAGGGCGCTGGAGTCTGGCAAGTCACCTAATAATTTTTTTTTTTTTTTTAAGTAAAAGCTATCAGGATAAGAGATTTCAGCACTGGCTGTTCTTCCAGAGTTCTTGGTTTGAATTTCCAACTCATACATAATGGCTCACAGATACACTCAAGCCCCAGGGAATCTAATGCCCCCTGCAGGCTTTTGTAGATAGTGTGCTCATGGTTGCGCAGGTATACGTGGACCATAAAGGACATCTTTGGTGGCTGGAGAATTGACTCGGCAGGTTAAGATCACTGGCTGCTCTCCCTGAAGACCCAGATCTAATTGCCAGCTCCTACATTGCAGCTCACAGCTCTCTGGAACTCCAGTTCCAAGGGATCCAACACACCCATACAGAGGCAAAGCAATGCACATAATAAACCATTAAAAAGGTCTTTGTACTAATGTTTTCCGTACATGCACTATGTACATGGCTGTTGGGAGTCCCCTAGAATAGTTATGAATGAGCCACCATGTGGGTGCTGTGAATTAGAATATTCTTGAAGAGCAAACCTTTACAGTTCAGCACCAGCTAGATTTTCAACCACAAGCAAAATGTTTTTTGTTTTTAACAGAAACTAGGCACTAACAAGGTCTTATAATCCCAGCACCTGGAGGCAGGAATATGAGGGCTCTCCTTCAGTCTGGTGACAGGATTCTTTGCAAAGGGGGTAGGGGTGACGGGGAAGATTTGGGGGAGAAAAGGAGCAAGGAGGAGAGAGCTAAATATATATATTCCATGCTGGCCCTCAAACCCATATTCCTCACTAACATGAACTTTTTACTCAACTCTTAGCAGCTGTGATTACATACCTGTCGAAACAGTTCAGGCATGAAGTCCTGTGGCAAATTTCAGGCTGCTCCAAACACTTCAAGAAAACAAGAGTCTTGTGACCTCAGTTTCTTCAAACTCGTTTTGTAGTGTTCCCAGGTGTGGCAGAGAAGTGATTTTACTTCAGATTACTCATCATTGCTTGCTGCTGTTATTCAATGTTTGTGTGTGTGGAAAAATGTTTTTGCCATGTGCATCCTGATTGTACACAGCTTCAAGTCATGAGAACTTTACTCACAATTTCTCATAACTGTCACAGTAAACTGTCTGGGGCTCTCACTAAAGTTTTTTATTGTATGACTTTAGTCTGCTTCATTCATAGGCTCCATTCTCCAAGATCCCACCGCTTCTAGAGCAGTGATACTACCTAATGGCAAGGACAAGGCAGGGCCAAACAGCATTTGTCACTGAGTGGGGAAGAAGCTCATGAGCTAGCTGTCCCTCCTTGAGGATTTGCAGAAAGGCAATGCAAAGTTACTGGGGGTAGATTTTCTTCAGTGAAATATTCATATTTTTGTATGTGTTCATGTGTACAACATGCTTGCAGGGGCCCACATAGGTCAGTTGATGACATCAGTTCCCTTAGAAATGGAATTACAAAATTGTGAGCCACCACATGGGCAGCAGGAACGAATCCCCAGTCCTCCCCAAAAGCAGTGCACTAATTTAATTTTATGTGCATTGGTGTGAGGGTATTAGATCCCTTAGAACTAGTTACAAGACAGTTATGACCTGCCATGTTGGTGCTGGGAATCTTTAGAAGACTCGGGTTCTTTACAGGAACAGACAATGCTCTTACCCACTGAGCCACCTCTCCTGCCCACAGTAAACTCCCTTTTAACCTGAGTTTTTCTCTCCGACCCCTGCTCTAGTGACTTTAAACCCACTGAGGTACCTAAGTTCCATTAGAGCCTTGAAAATCAACATCCACAGTTTTTACCAAGGAAAACAGCTTGGCAAACTGCAGAGGGATCAGAGTGCCTCCAAAGCCCCATGCACAGAAGAAGACTCGCTACTTCATCCTGTTTGAAGTTTTTTCAAAGATCCTCAAGGCTAATACTTTTTCAGGACTTTTTACAAAGACTCCTGGAGTAAATATGCACCAGCAGCTGCCTTATTTATCTTCAATTCCCTATTTCTTTTCATTGAAAATGTGTTTACTTTCATGTTTGAAGCATTCCACAATGGCCTTCACCAGAAGCATACACCCGATTTACATGACAGAGTAATGCTCTATTACAGTGGAGCCATGTTTCTCCTGTGCCAACAGGAGAAACACAAACTAGAACAGAACATGTAGTAACTGCTGAAAGTCAACTCAAGTCATGCCAAGTAAAACATATGGCCATTCAAATACATCATATTACTAAAATGAAGTGCATTATTCTGCGGTGGTCTGAACGAAAAAGTGTGCCCCAAGTCTCAGGTATTTGAATACTTGGTTCCTGACTGCTGGCTGTGTGGGGAACCTTAAGAGGTGTCGTCTTGACGGAGAAAAGTGTGTCACTAGGGGCCGGCTTTGAGACCGAAAAGCCTCAACCTCAGTTTCCTGTTTGTAGCTTAAGATGTAAGTCCTCAGCTCTGGTGGTTGCCCTACCTCCCCGCTGCAAAATGTCTCTGCCAGCATATTAGCAGACTTCTTTCTATCCCTCTGCAATCCCAAGTCCCAAATAAACCCTTCCATTATATGATGCCTTGGTCACGGTGATTTATTGCAGCAATAGAAAAGTAACCAATCCAGTAGCAAACAGAGAACACTCCCCATCTTGTAGAGCACGGACTGCATCTGTCACTCAAGAAACTACACCTAGCCACATACATCTCTCAATGAAGTGTGTCTCCATTTGCATTCTCTATTTAGAAATTTCTTTCGTAGAATCAGAAAGTGAGCCAGGTATGAACAGCACAGGCCAGAAATCTCAACACCTGAAAGGCTAAGGCTGCCTCAAATTCAAAGTCAGCCTTGGAGACACAGGCGACCCAGGGCACCTTGGGTGCTACATCTCCATAACAATCTAACAAATGGAGCATGCTTTTATACAGAAAATTTATGAGCATAAAATTTACTCAGCTTTAAGTTACTAACAATTTTACACATCCTTTTACACATACAACCAGTCTGTCTATAAGAGATTTTGTTTTTTAAGTTCGACATCTGTCAGAATATGCCAAATTAAACCAGTCATGGTGATACACACTTCTAATCCCAGGGCTCCAAAAACGGATGACACAGAAATTCCAAGCCAGCTCAAGCTACATTGAAGACATGCTTCAAAGAATAGAAGTTTTTAAAAGCTGTCGATTCTGACAAGTGGTGGCTGCTGCCAAGCTTGACCACCTGAGACCTACACAGCAGCACACAACTGCAACTTCTAAAAGTTGTACTCTGACCTCCCTCCAAACTTGCACATTACACACATCTTCAAACAAATAAAATGCAATCAAAGAAACTTAGGCAAGTGGTCAAATTTTCAGAAAGGGAAAATGGCTCACAGTTAAAATAACATGTGGCTCTTTCAGAAGACCAAATCCAGTTCCCAGCACCCACATCAGGCAGCGCACAGCTGTCTTTAACTCTCAGGAATCCATTACACTCTTCTGGCCTTTGTGGGCACTGGAACATGCACACACAGACATGCACACACATAAACTTTCTTTTGTATTTCCAGTAACTTTTAAAGGAATGTTCCAAGTGTGCAGATCTTGAGAACAAAGCCTCTTCAGTTGTTACTGGCTGTGCCCTTTCGAGAACAGCTGGCTGGGATGTGACACAAAGCCTCAGGTTTACTTCTAAGCACAGTATAAAGCATGGTAACCCACCACTGAGATACCAACGCACAGCTAGAAGCACAAGCATCAGGAGTTCAAAGTCATCTTTGGCTATATACTGAGTTTAAAGCCAGTGTTGGCCACTTGAGACCCTGTCTCGGAGCAAAATCAGTGTATCAAATCTCATGAAAGGCTTTTTTTTTTCTTCTTCTTTTTTCTTTAAGACAGCTGCAGCTCTGGCTGGCCTGGAACTGGTATCCCCCAGTTCTAGGACTAAAGTTCTGTGCCTTTTTCAAGGACCGCTCTTCTTTGATGACTACTAATGTGGTATTCCTGTGCCTTTTAGACTAATTGCTCATTAAAAACTATATGCATTCTCATCTTCCCAAGGAAGAGAAAGCAATTAAGAAAGTTTTGAAGAATTTTTTTTAACATATATCAAACCACGCATCAAGTTTACATGACTTGATAGTCCAAATTCCACAAACAGGCCATAGAAATCAGCTAGAGAGTTAACCCAGCAATAGCCTCCAGGTCACGTAAACAGACACCAGCTATTACCACTTAGGACATTTTATTGGCATATGACAATTTACAAGGGTCCCTGTTGAAATATACACCACACTGAGTAAGAACCGTTTAGCCGTCTACATTAATTATCATTGGGTAGTATTCTTCACTCAAATTATAATTTAATTCCCAACACTGATTTTAACTGTGACAAAAGGGAACAATAACAATTCCCTGAAATACACTGCAACTGGGAAAGACTTTGCTTTTTATATTAAAATTCCTAAGTTGTTGAAGCATACAAACCTAAGAATTGAGTCATGGCCTTCTGAAACTGCTTTCTTATTTTTTTTTTCTAGAAAACATCCTTTGCTTCATTTTTATTTCTTTTCTCTGGGGAAAGGAAGTATGTGTATGCAGTGTATAACAGTTGTTTTTTCCTGGTACTTGTAATCAAACAGCTTTAGCAAGAGGCAACATTCAGCTTTTGTAGCATGGCATGAGTATAAACATAAGTGGTGATCTCAAAAAAAAAAAAAAATGCACACAGGCTTCTTTATGTCTGGCTCTGAAAGGAGATTCACAGTGGTGTTGTGCTGCAGAGTTTTTATAATCACCCCACTTTACTATAATGTACGAGAATATTCTTAACTTTAAAATGAAAGTAACCAAAATGTTATATATAGCATTGCATTCACACTTGAAATATAACCTGTGAGTACTCCCTAATTTTTCAGCAAATCTACTTTTTTCTGTTATAGAAAAAGTAAAGCTACAAACATGTAAAGATTCACAGTAAACTGTAAAAATAAAAAGTTCTATGTATTCATACATAATAATTGCTTTTATATGTAAGTATTAATCTGAACAGGATGATACTAATTATGTCCAGACTGAAGCAATAGTTTCTTTGCAAATATTTTCTGATTGACTAAATAATTTCAGAAAGACAATTAATGGGAGGAACCATGCAATACTGAGTGAGAATCTTGTGATAAATTCCTCACATGTTGACTTTGGTTTTATTTAATTTTGCTACCAATAGCTCTTAAGTCTAAGACACATGGTAAATCATCAAAATGGAGGATGAAAGAACCATCATTTACAAGCTTTAAAAGTTTACATTAATAGAATAAGCAGTATCTCCTTTAAATAAATGTGTGCGACTAATGTGGTGCAGTGTAGCTAGTTTGAGTCTTAGCCCTAAAGTTCACTTTATTCCTTCGAGAGCCGTTGACAGATAGCAATAGCAAATAGCAAAGACAGATTAATTACCTAAAGAACAGACTCCAAGAAAAATGTCATTTCATAAACCTAAACTGATGGGGTGCGGGACAGTTGGATCAATGCTACAAGCTTCCTGCTAAAATCTTCTTTTGGCAACATTAAGAGAAAACACATTACTGAAATACGACTGAACAGTCTGTTGCATCTATCTAATCTTGTGGTTAAATTATAGACTAATTTATAGTTGTTCAAAGCATCCAATAATTATGTAATCTATCCAAGCAGGGACTGAATGACCAATGCATCAAATTACACTGCAGGATAATCTTCCAAATGAAAATGACTCCCAAGTATTGTATTTTTAAAAATACAATCAGGTCTGTGGAATTAGGATTTTTACTTACACTGATATTACAATGTTCTCTCTCATAGACAGCTGGTACCTGAGACCATGACTCAAACTATCAAATGAGAATGGAAGAGAATATTCCATTTTAAATTCTTATAGGAAAGGCTCTTCAAATGATTTTTCAATCCACTATTTGCTTTCAGTGAAAATAACACTCTCACACTTAACTTTTAATAATTTGCACTTTTTAGCTATTAAAAGCTACTGTCTTCCCTTATATATTGCTGAAGTGTGAAACTAGTTTAGTTTACCAGAAAAACAACTTTGTGATATTCTTCAAAAATTACTCACCCTACTACGTAGTGTTCAAATTTAAAATGATGTTTAACAGATGTGTGCAGTTAAAACAATTAGTGTGGTCACAATAAATAATTCCTGTTGGAGGATTTGTGTGGATTTATGTAGAGCTAACGTTTACTTCAGCATCAAACATGAACAGGGAGGCAAGAGCTGTCACAGAGCTGTACTTGACCATTTCTTATAGACAAAGCAGAAATACAATGCATGTAACAAAAACAGTCAAAGGTTTTTTAAAAGTTGATAGTTACAAATATGGTACGGAACATTTTCTACTTTATTTCAATACAATTTTCAACATACAGTCTAGTATTGTTTCAAGATATTTGAAGACTTAAAACAAAATTTCTATAGACTACTTGCAAACAGTAAATTTTAAGTAAAATGCTTACATTCTTATTTGAAAACAAAAATCAGGTTTTAAAAAAATGTAAGTATCAAGTTCTGCTCTCTGCTGCAATCTTGAGGCTATTCCTAAAAAAGGAAAAAGAAATTAGAGGTCAATAACAATGTGAGTAGTGAATATTAATGACAATATTTCTAAAAGTTGATCAACTAATATGCTTGCCAAGCTCATACCAAATAAAATCTGTCAAAAATCAAAAAAATGTCTACCTTTTCTTCTTTGCGTCTGTCCTTCTTTTCTTCATTATTTTCCATGGTCTCGTCTTCATCTTCAACAATCCCATCCCCTTGGTATTTGTCATGAGTCCATTTTGGACTGCTACCTGATTTTTTGAAATTAAAGCGCCCTCTGCCGCGTTGAAAAGTACCACGACCTCTTCCTCTTTTGGCCCAATAATCCACACCGTCATCTCTGTCATCATGCTATAAAAAGGTTTAAAAATAAAACACACCAATGAAATGGCTTTCTTGTAAAGATATTAATTCACTAATCATACTGCTGGTATTGAGCAACTACCCAACTCACTAAAATCTTTAAAATAAACACTTTTTTCAAAACAGAATATGCCTCTGTTCAAAAGCATTTTATACAGAGATTAACTTCTAATATAATTTAAAAGTTGTAATTATATAGGCAGGTATTAAGCTATTTAAGAGAACAGTTCTCAGCTATTAATAACTTGTATCTTTTGATAACTTTATGCTAGATGATATTGTGCATGAGTTCATAAAGAATGACTTCTAAGATTACCAAGAGCATAGAGACATCAGAAAAGAGCCACTCAAAACTTTGTCTACAATTACATTGTTTCATACTCCCTTATGACACTAATACCCAATTTTACAGACCTCTTTGGTATGACATTTAGTAGTCTTTGAATTTGTAGGAAGAGGCACACAAGTTTTAGAGAAAAGACCTGCCACTACACCTTCAACAGCAACCAAGTTCTCTATAAATTTACCTCATTCTAACAGAGATAGCCTAGAAGGAATTCTACAGATTCAGTAAGATACAGTTGGTCCAGTGTCTGCAAGCAAGGCTCAACATTTCTCTAGTTCTTCCTAGGTATGGTAAGACACTGCTCTGAATACATGCAATTACTCATCCACTCTTTAGAACCAGGTACACTGTGACTATCTGTTCCTATCCTGTAAAACACTGAGAAACAGAAAAAAATAAACAACCCTTACTGGTCAATTAACTATTAACCAGAGGATACAATTCCCACACATCCTGGGGGCAGTAAATGAGAAACCATTATTAGTGAACCTAGAGCAGAAGTGGGAACAGCCAGGAGCGCTAGGTAACAGTCAAATTAGTCATTACTGTCAGATATGCACACATATGAAAATTTAAGTAAAAAGATATTAGAACCTCCGGAGTCTAAGCTGTTTCTTTCAGAGAATGTTGTAACAGCAACTGTGAAACTGTGGGTGCTAAAAATGTTTTTCTCCTTTTCCCATTCTCATGTGTCTGGCATGTGTGTGGGTTCTTGTACAAGTGTGTGTGCATGCTTGTGAAGGGCACGACTTAAGTTGGAAGCACTCCTGACTGTTCTTCCACCTTGATCATTGAGGAAGGGTTCCCAATCGAATCATCAGTATGGTAATTATGCTAGAGAAATCCCTTATCTCTACTTTAGAGGCCAAAATTACAGACAGGCCCTCAGACCACAAATCCAGCATCTGTATGGGGTTCTTGAGGATTCCAATCTCTTAACCACTACTCTAAATTACTCTATTTTTCAAATTCTTACATTCAAAATTTGAATCTTCTAACATTATGAGTTAAAATATTTTTCATGTGACATTTAAGTGCTGACCAAACAATCAGAATGGTTTTCTTCTTTTTAATAGGGATCTATAATGGACTGAAGACCTCCTATATCCAGATTGCTCCACTTAATACAGATGAAACTTTCCCAGGAATGCAAACCTATAACCCAGTATTTAGCAGACAAGAATCTCCATTTCAAAGTTAGCCTGTTCTATAGAACCATATCCTGGTTCAATCTCCTCCAATTAATTAACAAATTTAGGAAGTATTAAGGCTTAAAAAATTAAATGTCAAGTTACTCCAAACTCTGAGCAGTCCTAATCCCTCAGCTCTTCACTCTAAGATCATTTCCTTTTCCTGAGAACATGCCTGTTTCAGTCTTTTCTCACATGTTCGAACTCATATTCATGTCAGGATTGCCCTGACACAGTATTTTTCCTACTATTCTTATTACTATCACACTCTTGCATAAAGCCAAGGTTTAAGGTGAGAAACATGGAATGTAACAAACACTCCTAATGCGTCAGGGTAGGATGACAACCACAAATCAGAAATTTGGCTTGAAGCACAGTGCATGGTATCAAATACTAGCTCAGCACAGTCAAACTACTCAGTAGCTGAATTACTCTTCATCTGTAAAAACAGAACAGCCTCAACTCAAAAGGATTTTCAAAACATTTTTATTCATGTCTGAGAGTGGGTCACTGACTAAATGCTGAGATTTTGCATATTCACTGCTATGCCCAGCTTAAATGTTCCTAAACACTAAGTTCTATTGGATAAAAATTTCTTATACTGATGTATTATAGTTAAAAACCCACAGGAATAGCTAATTTTAAACCTCATTTCTTCTGAATTGTTATTTCTGCTCATATTTCTATTCTCAATCTTAAGGCAGCGTTTGTTCATAAAATGCAAGATATGCAAGTTAAGATATTCTGGTGACTCCAAGTAGCCAATTGCTTGTAAGTACCAAATAACATAACCACGAGTCTATGGTACCTGTAAAAATACAGTATACAGATCAAAACTTTTAAATCACAACCCACACTTGGGCAGTAGTACACACCTTTCTTAAATCCCAACATTCTGGGATCCAGAGATAGGCAGATCTCTTGAGTTTGAGGCCATACTGGTCTACAGAACAAGTTCCAGGACAGCTAGGGTTACACATATACAAAAAAAATAATAAAATAAAAATCCACAATAGGAATGCACTATTATCACTATTTTTTAAAGTAAATTAAATTCTTTTTGTTGCTTTTGTTGTTTGGTGAGGTTTTTTTTTATCTTGCTTTGTTTTGTTGAGACACAGTTTCTCTGTGTAGTTCTAGCTATCCTGGAACTGACTCTGTATAACCACCTCCCTCTGTCCCCAGAGTGCTGGGATTAAAGGTGTGCACCACCATACCCAGCAAGTAACTAAAATTTTAAAATAACAGATTAATACAATTACTACCATATCAAGACACCCTAAAATGTCTTTGTCACAACTTAGCATATAAAGACCCATGACAACACATTGCTTGGTCTAAATTTTATCTTTTGGTTGCATGCAGCAGCAGACAGTAAAATCTTAAATTCAAGGTCAACCTCAAGGATATACCAAGTAGCCTGACCTTGTCACGGTAATACACTACGTTTTAAAATTAACAATGTACACCCCATAAATTCCTCCTTTAATCAGGAAGCAGAGGCAGAGTTCTCTGTGGGTCTGAGGCCAGCCTAGTCTACTGTGAGACACTATCTTGAAGAAAAGAAAAGCCTAATGGTTAAAATCTACTATTTGCTTCTTGTTCTCTCAACTTTCTCAACTATTTCTGCACTGAAATAGTTCAACTCACACTTACACTATTTGCCTGACAATTTTACTACTCCTTCTAATTCCATGTCTTCCCTGTAATCTCATCACACCTTCAATGGTATGGTTCTTGGATCTTAATGTTCCTCTAAATCACCATTAACAACTATCCATTAGATCTACTCCTCCTTTCTCTAATCACTTCAAATTCAAATGACATGGGGGAGAATTTAATTTTCTTCAAAAATTGTGTCTATTCTCTACGTCCTTTCTCAAATGCAGACCCTTGGTTCAGGCACTGGGTGTCGCTTCAATTTCCTAACAGCCATGTTTTGAACAAGCCTGCTGTTATTACTAAACTATTATGGCCTAACCACAACCTTGATTTCTGGATTCTCAAATTTCCTAAGCATGTTTATGGCAACAATCTAACACTTTCACCTCTTCTAGTATGCTCTGTCTACCTGCTATCTTTATGCTCAAGATTCAAGCAAGACAAGTATCTGTAACAGATTCTCCTAATCAGTTCCATTGTAAATCTTCCTTTCCCCTCTGTAAAAGTCACCACAAGAACTCAAAGTTTCTGTCCCCTTTGTCCTTAAGCCCCAAACTGGGATTATCATAGTTGTCTTTTATGAATTATAAGAGCACTTCGTTTATAAATTCTTTTTTGTTTTTTGGAGGACCAGATATGTTTAATTTAAAGAATTTCTTTTATCCAAGCATGGTGGCACATGCTTTAATCCTAGTACTCAGGGGGCAAAGGCAGGTGAATCACTGTAAGTTTGGGGCCAGCTTGGCCCAAAGACAACCAGGGCTATGTTAGAGAGGCCCTGTGTCAAAAAAAAAAAAAAAAAAAAAAAAATGGATGGGATTGTGCACATGTGCTTTGTCTGTATGAGTACCATGTACACAGAGGAACGCACGGAAGAGACTAGAAGAGGGTGTCTGATACTAGATCTGTTTGCTAGGAATTGAACTTGGGTCCTCTACAGGAGTAACAAGCACTCTTAGCCACTGAGGCCTCTATCCAACCCCTACACAAATATTAACTCTTAGAATCAAATGTAAATGAATCTTTTAAGTTAGTAGTTTCTCACAAAGAACACAAACTGAATGACCGCTACACACTGCAAATTCTAAAAGTTCACGACACTTTTCCCAATGTTTGGTCATTAATACAAACGCAAAGTGGCAATTCATTTTTGAAGAAGTGTACAGATCCTTTCCACACATCCACTTCAGAATAGAGCATCATCCTCTAATTTAGCAAATCTGTCATGAGCACTCAGGTCTCACCACCCTCTCAGCCCGTTACTGTTTATTTCTTTGTTGTCAATTTTCACAACTAGCCTCAGAAACATTATTTCCCTGAAAAGCTATGGGAAAAACTAATACTTCTGCTAAGTTTCGGTAACTTGAAGCATCTGTTCCTATAATAATGGAACATACAAGCCTTTTCCCGTGCCAAACTACACAAAAAGCACCATCCTATGCAATAATCCTTCAAGACTCACAACCTCCCACTTTACCCTTGGAAAACAGTCTGAACAAGAGAGACATGTCTGTTAACAACCAAGGGTCAAAACCAGCAAATGTAGCAACTGCATTTTTCCTTTCTTTTTTGGGGGGGGAGGCGGGTGAAGTGGGAGGGAAGTTGCTTTTTGGTTTTTCGAGACAGGGTTTGTCTGTGTAGCCTTGGCTGTCCTAGACTCGCTTTGCAGACCAGGCGGACCTCAAAACTCACAGAGATCAACCTGCCTCTGTCTCTCTGTGTGCTGGGATTGTAGGCGTGTGCCACCACACCTGGCTGCAATTGTTTTTAAAAACCTAGTTTTCCAATTATCACAATGAATTTTGAAACCTTGAGATCTTTCATTAAAAGAACCGTAAAAAGTACTATTTTCCTTGTCTTTAAATAAAAAGGTATGATAAAAAGTACAATTAAGAAGTTTCAATAGTAAGAGCTGTCTTAGAGACAGACATGGAAAATGTTAAACTCAACTACAGTATGTTTTCTCCTCTTAAAGTGGCAATCAAATCAGGCATTTTTAATTTACCTTGATCAGCCCACTGTGTGATGTTAAGTCAAGAATATAATTAGAATTAAAGGGACCCACATCTGAACTCAAAGCTTCAAACAATTTAAGAAATATCTTTAAAAAAGTTGCCAAAGTTACAAGGAACATCTCATAATGGCGAACATCTGCACTGAAATGTATCCACCTACAATGTTCTGAAAACCAACGCAAACCAAATAAAACATATTTCTAACACCCACCAAGAAGTACTTCTTGCTCTTTGGGGTATATTCTGGATCCCATTCCTCTTCCTTCGGTCTCTTTTGAAAAGTAGTATTTGAGTTGTTTGGACCAGTATTTGTCCCAGCAAAAACTCCTCTGGCTCTTCCTCTGCCTCTAATTCGAAACTGATTAACATTAACAAAGTGGTTTAGTAATGCAATCAAAGGTATTTAGTTACATGCAAATTCTAGATTTTACTGCAGTAACAAAAGCAAAGTGTATATGTGTGTGTTGTGTGTGTCATCTTCTGTCTGTCCTCAAAGCCACTGAGGATGGCCATTTTATACCATAAGCCTACAGAAAGTTGAGTAGGTTAAGAAACATAATATTCTGAAATACCTGAAACTAATATATTTAAACAATGATAAATGCAGGTCTCCCTTTTCACTAGCCAGAAGCTACGTAGTTCCTTTGAATTATATAACCAGTCTCAGATGGCCAATCAAATCTATTATCCTACAAGAAAAGTTCTTCTCTTCCCCTACTAGATGTAACTAAGAGGTAGGTAAGGTCTGAACCTAAGAAAATACACTACACTCACAGTTACAGTAACTATAAAAATGGAGACAATGTACACTATGCCAATGTAGGAAGGCTGTGTGACTGACACACATATGAAGCAAGGATCCAAATAGGCAAATGAAAACAGTAATACAGAGATGAATAGTGTTTTTAAAACAGGTTTTCCAAAATTAGTGGCTTAATAAGTGAACTTTTACTCTTGAAACTTAGTTAAAAAAAAAAAAAAGCATCTAGTTTATATAGATGCTTCAAGATATCAAAATGAATGTCATTTCACATAACACTTCATTACTCAAGACTGATTCTGACTTTGGAAAAGATAACTAGTAATCTATCAAAGACAACTACTACTTACAAAGGTCCCACGTGGTCTGCTAACTCCTGCAAATCCTGAGTAGTCTTTCATCTCGTGGTGAGTTTTAAACTCTTCTTCTCTTTCTTTCTTACTCTCTTTTTCTTCTCGAGAACTGGGTGAGGAAGGTGATGCTGAAGACGATGATGATCGAGAATGATCTTGTTCTCTACCTTTATGTTTGCTGAAAAATAAAGAAAAAAATGTGCTATTTTTTTAAAGATAAAGAATTATTTATAATCTTATGAGGAATGTTTTTAAGTTTAACAAAAAAATAAATAAAATTTTAAAAAAGCCTATCCCCTTTAACATTACCACATAGGTAAAACTGGGTGTAGACTCTGACACAGTCTTCAGTGTTTTACATAATTAACATACTACAGCCTACCAGGAAGAAACTGGTAGTTTGCAAACTTCAAAGACGTTCAGTTCTTCATTACGTTAACTTGTAATCTATTACTTTATTTAAAAAAAAAATGAAAAAGAGTGGGTTTCGGTTGTTTGCTGCGATGCTGGGGATTGAACCCCAGGGCCTGACACATGCTAGGTAAGCCTATACAACTAAGCTACAGCCCCAGCAGAAATATTCTTGAGTCCAGGTTTAAAAATGACTGCCATCTATACACACCCTGAGTGAGAACAGTTTGTATGACTTGGGCCACAATATGATAGAAATAAAAGGCACATAACATTACAAATAACAATCATAATTTAAAAGCACAAGTAAAATCCACCATTTACCTAATGAACATCAAGAAAAACAATTATCTACGATATATTTTATTCCTATTCATTTGACTCTATAATGATCAAATTTACATGATTCTAATTCAACACCTGGAAAGGTCATACCTGCAGTAACTCTTACCACTGCTAACAGTATCCACGGAAATACAATTTTCAAAGACTAATGTATAAACCTACTTCCTAATTTTTCCTCCCCCCCATCTCTCCCATGTTAAACCACTAGATATCACTTTAACAGTCTTGTACTCTGGGTGTTATGAGTTGAAAAAGTGCGGAATCAAGCATAACGAACCAAAGTTCTTACACAAACTGTTTCTAGAAATGCACTGCATTGAAGTCCAACCTCCTGATGTAGCCTGGATAATAGGACACATTAATTTGTCATTTTTTTTTTCAGTGTTAGCTTGCTATTCCAAAGTTTTTGTCCTCATCCACCATAAGCCGTGTAAAAGACAAATACATTTTTGCTGTAAAACAAATAATTTTAATTGTTTAAATTTAAACATTCGATTGCATAGTCAAAATTGAAAGCAATTAAGCTGACAATTATTAAAGGCTAATTAGAAGCTAAAGCCTAAGACAAGACAATGTTAACAATCACCTGTCATCTTTGTAAGATTTGTATTCCTTGTAATCTTTTGGAGTTTTTTCTTGCTTTCTTGATCCACTAGATTCCCTGGAGCCCTTGGAATCCCCCCGTTCTTTACTTCTTTCTTTACGGCGACGATCAATGTCATGCCGAAGATCAGCTGAATCACACCTTAATTTTTTATCTCCCTGCAGAAAACACATGTAAAATATAGATTTCCTATAAAATATAAAATCTATTTTCCTATAAGAAATGCATTTCCCTACAAAATGTAGGGAAGAAACAGAAAGGCATCATACAGTAGCATTGTATCACACCAGATTCTAACCTGGTGTTTTAGTATCAAAAAACTACTGTGTCATATGCTAGCGTCAGCCTAGAAATTTTTTTTCTAAAAAATACGTATTTTTACTGAGCATTTATATACAGGCACTAGAAGTGAAGTTACTAAATTCTTCGTATTCAAAGAAATCCATAATGAGCAATAGAGCAAAATGATACATCTTTCTACTCAGCAAAAAATTATTAGCCCTCATTCTTCCAAATACTTTTTATGAAGTAGCTGAACAGTGTTAAAAGTTGTAATGTATAATTGCAATGTGGTTTGCAGCCTATAATCTTGAGATCCTGGAGTTATGGGCCTCTTTAACATCAAGTTTTCCCAGATAAACTGATCAAATACAGTAAGATACTTCAAAATTAGGAATTCTGTAATTTTCATGACATGCAAGTGGAATACAATTAATAAAACTGAGGTTGAACAAAGCTCAAACAAAGTCAAAAAGATATTCGCAATCCTGTACTCAGGATCTTGGGCCATATATTGCCCTTCCTCAATTCAGGTATTGCAACAGACATTAGTTTAACTGGGTCACAGTTCACCTCCTCCTTGTTCCATTGCTTTTTCAAATACTATATAATTTAGGAGTTGAAAAGAGGCATCTAGGAATGAAGAGAAATTATACATCAGTAAGATGCTATGCAATGTGGACATCCTTGATATTATTCAACAATGAGATATCTTTATTCTGGGAAGTCTAACTATAATATTCATAAGCATGAACAAAACTGATATACATGTATGTATCTCTCAAGGTGGTAAGTTCTACTCAAATTTGTTCCCAGAGTAGCAAAAGTTTAGTCATAAGCCAAACTTTCCAAATCACCTAGTTATTACTGACTCTGCAAGAAACAATGTAAGTTAAACTACTTTGTAAATTGTGCTAAGCATATAATTTCATACTAACATACTAATTATTCATTAAAGACAGAGAGATGGCAAAGCCCAATTATCATGTCCTCCTGGTCACCTATCACTTCTCTCTCAAACCAAAACCTGAGTAGTAAAAAGAGAAAAATATCAGAACTCAAAGACAGAATGAATTGTGGGACAATTAACCCCTATTAAACCTAAGGTATTAAAATCAAAAGAGTTTTTGAAAGGTTAAACTGTTGACTCCCGGGTCTGTTTTTCCAGAACTGTTATCGCCTGTGCACAGACATCACCTTATCCCTAAGCTCTAGATGTCAAAACCATACTGAAAAATTTGTACACTGGCAATGTAATTCCTTATCAATCTAAGCAAAAACAATCCAAAATATCTAATATTCCACAATACATTCTTAGTATTTTAATCAGAAGAGTCAAGGTTTAAGAATTATCCCCCCCCAAAAAAAAACCCTTATCATTTTCAAAACAGAGTTGATCCCTTGCCACCTCTGCTATACATTTTACTACTACACACTTTATAGACAGCCATATGAACTAGTTTACTTAATAAATGTCAACTTTGAATCATCAGTACCTTTATGACTACACTGCAGTCATACTAAGGTCCTAACCTCCTCGCCTTACCTGTAGTATCTAAACAGGCTCTTTTTAAATTTCAAAACCAAATTCCTAAGTAGTCCAACAGAAACAAAACATTTTGTTCCAAGGTTCACTATGAAAATCTGTTTTTAGAACGCCTGTTTTCCTTCTTGTGACGTAGCCACAACTAGCCTGGAATTCAGAGATCCATCTGCCTCTGCCTCCGGGGTGTAAGGAATAAAGGTGCACCCAGCCTAAAATGCCTATTTCTTATTTTTTTCTAATTGAAAATAATTTTTTATATAATATATTCTGATTACAGTTTCCCTTCCCTCTGCTTCTCCCAGTTCCTCCCACCTCCCTTCCCTTATCTTCCCTTTTTATCTCTCATTAGATAAAACAAAAACAAAAAACTAAAAACAGGCATCTAAGGGATAATAGTAAAATATAAGATTAAAAAAAAACAAAAAACTAAAAACAACGGAAATAGGACCAAACAAACAAAAGGTAAAGACCCCCAGGAAACAATGACTATTTCTTAAACCACAGGAAGCTAAGTCAAGAGTGCTGGAAGAATTCAAGGACAGCCAGGGTTGTCCAACTTGCTACCCTCAAAAGGACAGCATTACTAACTTCTTCGAAGAACCAGAAATAAAATTAACCTTAAGACACATTCAAATTCTGACTTATGATCTCATCTCAAAACCTCATAAAAACCAAAATATAACTTACATCATAGTGTTTATAATCTTACTCACCAAGTCCCTATTTTTAGGACTGACATTTACAATTTACAAACATTTTCAAAAAGGTATTCTCCGTTTAAATTAAGATACACTACCATAAACTATTTACAAATTTAAAAAAAGATGTAATCATTTCGCCTAAGAAAACAATATTTATTGTAGTATCATTAAGCTCAGCTTCACATGAAAAGCAGGTATATTAAAAAAAACAAAAAAAAAAAAACATACCTTTTGAATTTCTTCTTTAAAAACTCTCTCCTCCCCTGCTAAACGGGTATGCTTCCTCAGAGCGCTTGGAGAGATGTCAATCCTCCTTAATATAAAACAAATGCGTTTGTGTTTACATTATTTACTTTCTGATTTAAAAGAAAAGAATACTACCCACTGTCAAGAGGAACTAGAAAGTTACATCTCTCCCTTGAGAAACCAAATTGGCACAATTAAGTTTACTGATTTAATTCCTAAAACAAAAAATAAGAATTATATATTTATTAAGAATGAAAAACTGGATATGGTGGCAAACGCTTCTAATCCCAGTACTCCACATGTTGACATAATAAAAGAAGACTGTTTTGAGTCTGATGCCCACATAAGCCATATAGATAGTAAGTAGGAGGCTAGGCAGAGCTACATAGCAAAATCCTGCCTCAAATACAAAACAAACCAATTAAAATGCTTTGGGTAAATTTTTATATATAAATGAAAGCAGATCTTTAAACACTGTAACCATGAAAAAATTTTTGATTATTATTTTTAATACTAAATCACCAGGCAATTAAAATGCATTAATTTATTCACTATTAGTACTGATACTCATACTCTAATATAAATTACTGGCTTCCAAGAATTCTTATATTTTCATGTGTCCATTTCATCTTATATTTGGTTCTGCACCTTTCTGTCTTAGGCTACCCTGTAACCTGGGGACGAAATACTCAGGTCTACAAATTAAATACTGTGTTCCCAAATGCAACAATATGCCAGAGTCAAAGCTGCTGCAACTGTGACTTAACACTCAGCCTCTTTCATGATAAACCCTCTGCTTCTCACCAAGCATCTTTACCTCAGATGGACTCGCAAGCTCAGAGGTTCCTTTAGACAGCCATTCCCTTGACCCAGGCCCCCCAAAACCTTCATCTATTTAAATTCCATGGTGATTAAAGTTGGCATTTTTAAAGTTCTAAAAAGTTTCAACTAAGTAAAGTAAAAATCAGGGGGGAAAAAAACAGGATTTTTAAAAATTGCAAACAGTTGACTTATACAGTGATGACAGCCCACTTCCCCCATTTCTACAACGGCAACAGTGTAGTGCAAACCCAGCAGACACACCTGTGTATCTCAGGGCTCTTCTGGCGGGCACCATGTTCCTCAGAGGCCTTCTGGTACGAGGTGAACCGCTCGTTTAGGGTCACTGCAGGTGACTTGAAGTATTGCTCTGTTGGTGCAGGAGAAACACTGCCCAATTAGGAATCTTAACTTTAAGGAGCGGGGATTTTCATTTGTGACAGAAGGGCATGTAGCAGGTGAAAGAAAATAAAAATACTCAAGAAACCTAGCAGAAGAGAATCAGGTGTTAAAATAAAAATTTCTGCTTTGTTACTTCCTTGTACCTCAACACATGATTGCCAAGGTCCTCACAGGCCCTACCGATACTAAATAAAACCCAAAACAACTAATAGATAATCAAGAATCTAACTCCATGCTAATAAACTACTTCCTCAAACAAATCAAAAAGGAACAATAATAGTATATGTCCTTAAACCCTGCCAATTAGACAAAGCTGTCACTTCAACTAATCATCTGCAGCAAAAATAAAGAAAATGATACAGATAGTTTGAGTAAATTAATAAAATTATGTTAACTGTAATGACATATCAACAGAAATGGCTTTACAAAAAAGTGAATATTGCCATTCAATTGAGAAAAAAAGACTTTGAAACTGATTTAAATTCACTAATTCGTCCAAAAAAATCTGGCATCTTGGCAAACCTGACAGCATATATGATCTTTCTTTAAGCACTTTTTAAATTAGTAATAACAATATTGATTAGTTTCTAAACCAGTTTAAGATATGCTGTAAATGTAAAATAGACGTATAAAGTCATGAACTATGAAATGTTACATTATGAAGCAAAGCTAACTGCTTAACAGGTCAACATACATCTGTGTCAACTTACCGCCCAGTATCCAGCACATGTCTCATAACCAATCATTAAAACTTGAAACGGCCACTACCAGGGTAGTGCCTCAATCATAATTCCATGAAACCCAGGAATTTGAGCTAGCAACTCAGTTTTTATGCCATTTTTGCCAGGAAGACAGAAGATTCAACTTTGCCTGTATCTTTCAACAGCTATTTTACTTTGAAACATGGATTTTGCCATTTCAAAACATATTCCAGGACCTAGTTACAATGAAAAAGAAAACATCACTGGGCATTTTCAGCTCTATATAGTGTAAGAGCTGTTCAGATCGGTTGCACAACACCAATTATGAAACATAACTACAGATCCTCTAAAAAAGGACAAAAGAAAATGAAAAAGGAAAAAATGTATCAAAATCTGATCTCAAAATTCAACAACAAACTGTAAAGTGTGGAGACAGGTCAAAAAAAAGTGTTGAAAAAAATGTTAATGCTTCCTATTTTTATTTGCCACAATACTACAATCATAAAGTCATAATACGGTGCACAAGCTTATCTATAGCCAAACCGCAGAACTCGGCGGTTACCATGCTGACTACAGCCCAAAGAAATTCATTAACTAGTAGTCTATTATTCAGTGCATAAGGAATCGTGAGTGACAAATTTCAGCTATGAGTTGTTCACACAACCAACTTTAAAAAAAAAAAAAAAAAAGACCAACAGCCAACGAGTTTCCTGGGAAAGAACCTGCTAAACACAAAAATAAAGCAAAGCAAAACTTACCTAGCTGCCCCCCAAACAAAATCATACCCCAAAGCCTTTGAAAATTAGTAGCTTTTAAACTTCAACAACATACTTGTGAAAATATGAATTCAAGACTTTAGCTAAAACAAAGCTCTTTATTTTTAGAACCTAAAGAAACACCCTATTATTTCTTTTAAAAAATCGATTATAAATTCTCAGTAAAACAGCAGTTAACTATACTGCCTAAAGCTGCTATAAATTTATGCATTACGCATTACCAAGTCATTGGCACATAATGACAGTTAATCTTTATCTTCACATGCAATATGACATATATAAATTTTCAAAATTAAATATACATCATACATTTGTGATACTGATTTCTGTTTTAACTTCAGCCATTTGATCATCTTATATTCACTAATCTCAATGCCAACAATATCTTCTCCACAAATATTTTCCAAATGTTTAATATTTATAGTACTAATACATTCACCTGCTAGCACAATTAGCACAGATATTATTCAACTTAACTTTTTCTTTTGCATGCACAGAAAGTTTAATTCATGATACTAAATATATTAAGCATACCTTTAACATGATGAACCAAGGATACAATGTGCTGTATAAATGACTCTGAAGTGCTTTTGCTGGCCTGAGGCAACTTAATGTGGTCAAAGATGGATCGGAATTCTTGCTCCTTCTTCACAGAATGGACAAGCGTACTAGCAAGTAGCCTGTCTTTAGTCAAGGAGGCAGGTCTAGAATATATCAAAAACAAACACACATACACATACACAACACACCATTGAATGTGTAAATTCCATGTTCAAAAAAATAATTTCATTTCTACCTCTACACTGCTTCCTAATCATCAATGTGGAATTACCTGTTAGAATCATCGAGAGGAACAGGGGCCATTTTGAGTTTGACTTCAGGACGATGAGAATCGCTGGCTATCATTTTGATCCTCAGCGGGCTCTCCTCTCTGAAGACGGACTTTTCTCGTGTGTCCAGACTCTTGTGCAGAGGGGGACTGTAATCAAAGAGCTCTTTGAGCTTTTCAGACTTTACCTGCTCAGGTGATGGCTGCGCCTCTTTCTTCACAGTTATTCTTTCAGAGCCTTTGTCTTCTTCCTTGTGCTTGTCTTTTGCAGTGCTAGGCCTTTCCACTATATATGCAGTCTCTTTCAGTTTATAGTTTTTTTCTTCTCTAAATCCATCACTTTCTCTATTGCCTTTGAGTGAAACTTTGGACTTGTACTTGGGTCCTTCCTCCTCAGTACTCCGGTGAGATGAAGCAGCAAAGCTCTTCCCTTGATCTGCCAGCACCGATTTCCTAAACTGTCTATAATCCTCTGTCTCCTCTGTGTCATCCCCTTCTGAGTCATGAAACTTTTGTTTTGCAGACTCTTTATCGCTGAAGTAATCTAGAACTTCCTGATCATCCCAATCGCCCTCTGCCCTGCCTTTCTCTGGCCCTTTCTCCTTTGCAGCCTCTTTATCCCTGTTCCCCCTATCAAGCAGGAACACTCTAGACTCTTCATCTGTGAACCTGTGAATAAGCAAAGAGCACAGTAACTCTGATGGCATCCACTTGTAGCTAACTTGCACATTTAAATGTATCCAACAAAAGAACATAACCCTTCTGAAAATTAACCTTATTTTTAAACCATTAAAGCATCCACACAGAACTTATATATACTTCCTAAAGTAAAGCTATCCTCAAAAAACTATTCATTGCAGTCACCTGCCACAATTTTATACTACAAAATCTAAATGTTAAGAGATTCTGATTTATGACACAAGCTAAATTTAAATTTGAGGCTAGGAACCACTAACAGACAATACAAATACCTACTAAAATTAAATTCACATTTATGCTCAAATTGTCAGATTTCATTTTTGAATTTTGCAGTAAGATTTCATGTATTCCAGGCTACCCTCAAACTTTTCACAGTGGCACTGTTGATCATCCTGCCTCTACCTCCCTCCTATTGGGGATAACAGTATGTGCCACCATTTACCTTTTCTGTCCATAAAAATAAGAGCTCATGGAAACAATCTTTAATAAAATAACCTTAGGTATTTAATACTCTACTGCAATCACAAAATACTCCTTGAAAAGTTTGCTCTCACAATAATAGAAGTTCTTCATCAGTTCAGAAAAAATTCCAGGTTGTATTGTTAAAAAAATCATAAACAGCATACTTGTTCTTTCTGACTTTTTACGTCACTCATACTATATTAACAACCTAATTTTTCATTCACTTGCTAGCATCTCTTTCTGTAATGTTGTTCTCTTTTCTTCCCCACTGGTTGTTTTCACTTGTTCACTAGGTCAAAGTTGAAAAACAAGTCAGGATGCACAAAGTACAATTTAGGCTTGAACTGAAACACTTCCTCAGCATTAATATCTAAATGAAAAGCCTAGTGCAAGGAGAAAGATGGCAGAAGAGGAAAGGCAACCAATCACATCCTGAGAGATAAAGCACTGGGGTTGGGGTATGTGCAGTGGATGGAGGAAACAGAGGATCAGAGATAACTAAGTGTGATAAACTACAAGGGCTGATGAAAGAAATTTAAACCAAGTACTTAAAATATCATTAGATTCACTGAGAAATAAAGATGTTTATTCCAAGTCAGGAAGAATTCACTAAGTACAGACAGCTGCACTGTATTACCACCCAAGAGCAAGTAATTTGACCACACTGTTTATTTAAGGTCACATTCTAAAGCAAAATGGGAAAAAGTCTGTAACACAAAACTGTTTATTGTGTTTACTATATATTTTTGGTTTCCTTAGGCCACTTAATTTTCCTTGTTTTTAACTGTTAGTTGGGAACTGATCGAAAATGACTAACATTAAAACAAAGAAAAGAAATATTACCAAAACAAAATAATTTAGAATTATCAATCAGGAACAAATAAAAACAGCTAAATACATGCCACAATGCTATTTTTAAATTATTACTATGAAAATATACATGCCCTACTTCGGGTTCTTACCTTTTCAAAAACTTTCCCGTCTTTGCTGTTTCCTGATCTCCGCCTTCAGGATAAAAAGAGGACCGCCCCCTAGATTCCTCTCTTGGAGCATTCTGTGGTGTGATTGTCTTTGCAGGGCTTCTTCGTGATGGGACATGATGAATCGGACTGTTCTGGGAAGGACTATATCGACTAGACCCATTTCCCACAGAACCAGATCCAGACCTTTCGGGACTATGTTGAATGGAATGTGAATGCTGAGAAGGGGTGTTTTTGGCAGAGTGGACTGTACTAAGCATGGGGGCATCTGAGCAAGATGAGCTCTGACTAGGTGGTGTAGCAATAGGTGAGGGACTATGAGGTGACCTGGGGCTATTATCATAAGCTGAAAGGCCAGGCCAAATATCACCAGATGTGGCAGACTTATTAAACTCATCAACAGACTCAGATGGATCGTGCTCAAAGGTATCCTTTGGCTCCTCCTGTGATTTGCTTTTCAAAGGACTCTCTTCCTGGGGTTCCCCTTCAGCTTTTTTGGTTTGTTTTTCCTGAGACCCTCGTCTTTTAGAGACAGGAGATTTGCTATATGGGGATGAAGAACGAGATGATGATGATCTTGGAGACCTAGAGGATCTGTATGAGCGGCGAGATCTGCTTCGGGATCTTTGCGAAGACACGGACCTTCTTTTCGGACTCCTGGAACGTGACCGACCTCGTCTAGGACTCCTAGAATGCCTTCTATTCCAGACAGGTCTATAGCCACCTCGATGATATCTACCTCCTCCTCCTTGATAATACCCTCTACCCCGTCCTCTGTACCCGTAAGGTCGTCTCATTCCTCTATTATTCCTGTAATCTCGACGATAATCTCTAGAATAAATACGATCTCTACTACGAGACCTTGAATATGTTCTGGAACGAGACCTAGAACTAAAAATGAAATAAGTATCAATTTAAGAATAATAAAGTACTTCATTCTACCATTTTAGATACATTTGGCTAAACAAAACATATAAAAGACAAAAACCATATTTACTTAAAAAACTTATTTGTTTGAAAAAGGTTACTGTTTCTAGTCTTTTAAAAGCTTCTGTCCAAGGTAAACAATGAAAGTAAAATTATAATATGTCTGGGGAAAATAGACGAAATGGGGGAGAGGCTATCAATATAGCCAACAAAAGATTATAATACATTTAGGGTGGCACTACAAGTCATAGTAAGAGAAATTTAAATGGTACCATATATTGCTAATAGAAAAAAAGGTTACATGGCATTACATAGAGTAAGTGCCACTGATATTCAAAAAAGCTGAATATAAAGTACAGAAAAATTACTAACTAGTATTCATTCTCAACAAGCTTCTAATTTCTATGCAGTGGAAATTAGTATTTAAGGAAAAGAATCATTTTTAAACAACAAAAAAGGGAAATTATCCTTTAAAGAACCAGACTCAGAAAGGAAAAACCAAAAGTAAATAAGATTCAGTGCCAAAGACTTCTTACAATAACCAGTTCATCTCTTAATATGGAAAAATACCAAAGATATTCATCATGTATTAGCACAGAAGAGTAAATCTCAGATCTTAAGTCACAGGTGATAACTAGATTACAACTTGGACAAGTCTCAATTTCAGTTCTAAATGAGGACAGCACATTCAATTCATGGAGTTTTACTGAGAATGACACACTGCTTCTGTTAGCAGTACACCTAAATACAGCAGACACTAATTATTAACTACTATTTCATTACTAAAAGCACCAGAAATACATTAATTCACCTGTATCTCTTCTTTCTAGAATGCGATCTTGATCTTGATCTAGAACTAGACTGTGATCTAGACTTGGATCTTGAAGAATGTGATCTAGAATTGGAGCGGCCCATTTCTTTTCTCCTAATCAAATGAAAAAAATCAATTAGGTTAAATCAATAGTAATAAAGATATTTTGATATTTATTTCCAGATATGAGTTGGATTTTTACATGTCATTCTTTCCAAATGAATACTTAACTTATAAAACAGATCTATTATCCCTAAATAAAACTGTTTTTAACTGCATAACAAGTACTAATTATTCAAGATAAGTATTTCTATGGCCTTAACACCTATTTGTTTCAATCCAAAGGCGTAACAACAGACTACAGACAAAAGTCAGGAAAAGCAGTGTCAAACTACAGTTGTGTTAGATGTTTTTCTATTCCCAATATAAAAGCCTACCTACCTCACCCATAGAAAAGTTAAAATCATTTAACAGTATAGCAGGAAAGAAACCTGAAAAAAGAACACAGTAGCACAATACAGACTAGAGATGGCTTTACTGGTTAAGAGCACTGTCTGAGACACAGTCCCAGCACTGAGGAAAAGTGGACACCAGGTCTCACCCCTAACTGCAGGTGATCACACCTAGCAAAGAAAAAAAATCAATTTTCTCCAACAGAGTATAAATGGGTGTACAGAGAGTAAGTACTTCGCCAACACAATATGAACTCAATGCTGTTTCTGCAAACTCTACTACATTACAGACTTCTTGTCTCATTTTGCTTTGTTTAGCTATTTTTTGTCTTTTGCTTGTTTATTTTGTGGGAGTGCTTTGTGTTTTAAAAAGAATAAGAACGTAAGTTAGAAACGTGGGAAGGATCTGGAAGGAATTAAGAGAAGAGGAAAAACATAATATACTGTATAAAAAATATACAAAATATAGCATAAGAGAATTTTTTTCAATTAAAAAAAAAAAGAAAAAAGGCACTGGTTGCCCTTCTAGTGGACTGGGGTTCAATTTCCAGAACCCACATAATGGTTAACAACAGTCCTGAACTCCTATAACAGGGATCCAACAAATGAGCAACCAAACACATACCATTAAGGAAAATCTGGCACAGTAATTAAAAACAAATTAATTAAAAAAGAAACCTCACCAGGTTGCCATTAAGAGTGCTTTATGGACTTAAGAAAGCACTACACTTGTTTATCATACACAAAAACATCAATATGCACTATGTAGTCTCCTATAGAATAAATGTCACTAAACCTCTTCACAGCTTTAAAACTTACAGGGCAATGCCAACCTCACCTTATATCTTGTTGATAAGAGTAAAAAAAAAAGATACAGGTATTAAAGTGATCATAAGAAATATTAGAACTACAAGAAAAAGAAAAGTTAGGCACAACTTAACTTTTCTAAACACTGATATAACTGAACCTCTGCAGAGGAATTTTAATTCAGAACATGGCAAGAGATCACATCCAAAGATCTTCTAGGTTTGTGTGATCCAGCTGGAATACAAACACGCTTTAACCCAGGGGACAGAGGCAAGCAGATCTGAGTTCAAGCCAGCCTAGTATAGAGCAAGTTTCAGGTAAAGAAAAGCTTAGGTCCAGGGGTCATGGTACATGCCTTTAATACCAAACGATGAAGGTGAAGTTAGTTTGTAGAAGGAAGCACCCCTGTTTAAAAGTGATATTTAATTGAGTGGCAGATCAGAAAGAGATCTCACTGAATAGGACATGCCTACCCAACTCTCACAAGAGAGGAAAGGGCAATGGAGAGGTGGGGAAGAGAAAGAAAAAGAGGGAGAGAAGAGGGAGGGAAAGGGAGGAGGCAGAGAGAGAAAATGAAGGAGAGAAGGGAGAAGGAGAGCAAAGAGGCAGTTTTACCCGGACACCAATAGAGACAGTGCATAAAGACAGGTGAACAAAGAAGGGGCCAGAGGATTAAAGACTGCTGGAATTAGTTTGAGGCCAAGCAGAGCAATTCAGAGGCTTAGAGAAAAGCCAGATTGAGTAAGTGGGCTGGGAAAGGAGTTTGAGCCAGAACTCAGAAATGTGTTCAAACAGCCAGCTCAGTAAGAACAAGAAAGGGTAAGCTTATTAAGTAAGCTTATTCAATTGTTGCCCCGGAAACAACAACTGAAACAGTCCATGAAAGTTCCTTTTACAGACCTCACTAGCTGCAGGTATCAATGATAGTACTAATTTATAAAATGCGCTTCTCCTATGAAAAAAATATACATATATGGTAAATCATTGAATGTACATATCAAATATCAGTTTTTAATTTTTCAGTGATTCAGAAGACACACAAGAGAGGAGTGGAGGGAGAGGGCAAGAGGGAGAGAGCAAGGGAGAGAGAGTGAGCCAACGAGAGCCTCAGCCTTTTAAACTTATTTTGCCATGTAAGTTGAACACTTAACTACAGGCACTATGGACACTAACCCAGGCAGACAAACTTCCACAAACTTCTGATTGTTCCAAAACCTAATACTAATTGATTATGTTGACCAAAAACCTGACTGATAAAAAACTGGCATATTATATAATTAAATGTTGCATGATGTAAATAAATGCAATAGAAAATGTGTTAACAAAAGCTGCTCCCATGAGGGTATCAGCATTACATTGTGGCTACGCACTACACATGAGCTTACATCAGAAACAGTTAGTTTGAGAATTAGTTTGTACTAGAGTTATCAAAGTCAATGTTAAATAGTGCATCTTCGTATTTGTTTATATTTTAATAGTAAATGAACCTGTGCACTGTGTCCATAAACTTTAGCTTGTATAGATTTTATGGTGATAAAGTACATATTTACATGCAAACTACTTTTTAATTTTTTAATTATTTAATTTAATGAAATTATTTAATTAAACTATATGGTCTACAAATTTTTTTAAGCCATCCACAAAGCTAGCCCAGGTGGAAGAAGCCAGCCTTCTGAAACAAAAGCATCAAGCCTGCCCAAGCTAACAAGAGTTCGTTCGAGACCAGCCTGGGAAACGCAGTAAGGCCTAGTATCAAAAAAAAAAAAAAAAAAAAAAAAAAAGAAAGAAAGAAAGAAAGAAAAAGGGGAAGAGGGCTTGTGGGTTAGTAATACACAGAGCTCTGTAGTAGAGTACTTGCTAAGCAAACATTGGTCATAGGTTCAATCCTTAGAGTAAAAGAAAAAATAAGAACTGAGCATGTAATTGCCAAGCACACACAAAGTAAGGAGCTTGTTTCCTAGCACTGAGAGGGGCTGGGGAAAACTGAAAACTAAATTTATTTACTTAAATTTTCATTTTATGTACATGGATTATCTGCCTGCATATGTATGCCTGGAACCTACTGAGGCCAGAAGGTATAAGGTTTTCAGAACTAGAGTTACAGGTAGTTGTGAGCTGCCATGTGGATGCTGGGAACTGAACCATGTCCTCTGAAAGAACAGTAAACTGCTGAGCCATCTCTCCAGCCCCAAATTATTTTTTACTTTGAGTAAATGATACATGTGTATGGATGAAAAATGCCACATTCTACATGTGAAATATCAGACAACTTTATAAAAAGTTGGTTCCCTCCTCACTCTATTCAGGGGATTGAACTGAGGTTATAAGGCTTGCATAGCAAGTGTTTTTACTACTAAGCCATCTTTGCAAGCCTCAAAGTTCAGTGTTAGTCAAGGGCCAACTATGTAACTTTGCAAATTCCTGACTTCTCAGTCAAAATAAGTAATCATGTCCATAAACCTCAATGTATTAACCTTGTAAAGACCTATGATTCTCATATATTTAAATCTTAATGCTTATTAAATAATTTAAGGTATTTGTGTACTGAAAGTTTATTATAAAATAGTACTAAAGTACATTAAGGACAATTTAATCAAGCCAAGCATGATGCCTTTAACTTAATACTGGGGACACAGAAGCAGGGGATCCCTGTGAGTTCAAGGCTGGCCTGGTGTACACAGTGAGTTCTAGGACAGACAGGACTACAGTCTCAAAAAATCCAAAATAAATTAGTAAGTGGAAAGGTTTGACCTAGGCACGATTAGAAAGAAGTGGTCACCTCACTACTAGGTATACGTTAGGGCTACACAAAAAGACTTTGTCTCAAAGGAGGGTTCTGGTGGTTCCTTCCTTTTGTTTTTAAATGGCATTTTGTGTCCTGAGTCTTTAAAAACATTTATAGAAGTAGAGAAAGCTAATATACAATGAAGAAGTGAAAAAAAAAAATTCTTAAACTAACTTTACAGAAGACACCACTCTCCCCCACAAAAAGAAAGAAAATGTTCTAGGCAACTTTACTGGTACTAGGGGTTGCAGCTAGGGCCTGGTGCATATTAGGCAAGCACCCTACTTCTTGAGTTCTATCTCCAAGGCCAGGTTATATCAATCTTAAGCACTTCTTCTGATTTTGGTTGGCAGTCAGTTTTTCTCAGTAAGTTAATAGTAAAACCTAGAGAAAATGAATGTTATTTACCTTGGACTTTATGCAGGATCCAGAAGTCAGTGATGTCTTTAAGATACTGCCAAGATTCTTCCTGGAGAGAATTTTATGGGAAATTAAACTCTAAATTCAAATTTCTAGCAATGATTAAAAAATAAAAGAAAAGTTTGAATTTCTGGTAAACTTGATACACACTGGTTATAGTACATACATCGGGTGAAGCAATAAATTACACAGCCCAAACTGACCTCCACTTTGACCTCTCAAGTACTGAAATTACAGGCATATACCTTGCCTGACTTGGGGAAACAGTAAACTTTTGATCATAACAGTTTAATAAGGTGCTCATATAAGCAATAAGCTAAGCAATAGGTGACTTTAAGCTTAGCCTGAGCTTTGATTTAACAACAGCCTATGTCAGGTAGGTGACAGAGGCCCAGGATATGGTTCACTGTTTAAGAACACTGGCTGGTATTCAGAGGACTGTTTAATTCCCAGGACCCAAATGGTGGTTCACAAGAAGTTCTAAGAGATCTGACACCCTCTTCAGGCCACCCAAAGCACCAACCAGGAACCTGGTGCAGACCTTTATGCAGGCACAACATAGAACAATAATTAAACCAACAACAGTAACACCTATAAACCACAAATTAGGGCAAGAAAGCAGGAGAATCAGTTTGAGTTCATCCTCATTTATACAGTGTGTTCCACGCTCCTAGGCTACATGAAATCACACACAACCATTAACAAAGAAAAGCAAAACAAAACAAAAATTTTCTAGTCCCAACATTGCAGAGCGTCATGTAACTGATATCTGAATTCTAACTGCAGTCACCTGACCTTTAGGGAACAAAATGGCACTCCATCATAAAACCTCAAAATAGTCAACACCATCTTTGCATATGAAAAAAGGCTACCTGAAAAGTAGCCTGTAATCAATATTCATAATGATCTATTTTCTAACATCTACAACAGCTTAATGCTCTGCTCATTTTCTTAAAACTTCCTTTTATCTAAAACTGATTTTTAAAAATTTCCTTCAACTGTAAGCACGTAAATTTCTTTTTTTTAGAAGAGGGTTTCTCTGTGTAGTCTTGGCTGTCTAGGACTCTCTTAGTAAACTAGGCTGGCCTCGTACTCTTAGAGATCCACTTGCCTGGTACTGGGATTAAAGGCCACCACGCCTGGAACCAACAAAAACATTTTTTACACGTTATCTGACTAACAATCTAAAAAACCGACAATAATGACACAAGTCTATAGGGAATTAATACTCTTAAATTAATTAACCAATACTATGTGAATAAATTTAATGGTATTCAGTAATCCAATACTGAAAAGGTTACAATTTTGTGAGCATTCAGAGATTATCAGTTATACACAAAGACCAAAAGCCATCAGAACAGAAATTAGAATCTACAGCTGCTTGTAAGAGGCTAGCACTCTTACTATTTTTTATTTTACTCATAAAATAAAAATCCAGACTCTTATGCAATGATGAAATTTAAAAATGCTATTTTTGAACTACAAAGAGTAGTAGTAAAATTAAATGTGTCAGGGCTGGCGAGATGGCTCAACAGTTAAGGGCGCTGTCTGCTCTTCCAGAGGTCCTGAGTTCAATTCCCAGCAACCACATGGTGGCTCATAACCATCTAAATGGGATCTGATGGTCTCTTCTGTAATGCAGGCATACATGCAAATGGAGTTCTCATATGTATAAATAAATGTTAAAAAAATACAATGGCTGTAATATAACTTATGATAATGGCTATATTATAAAATTAAAAAAAAAATTAAATGTGTCTATCAGTAATAACATCCCTTTAACTGGGAAATTTTATAAAGCAGTAAAACCAAAACCAAGTAGGCTTTGGTACAAAAATATAGTTCTAAAGTTTGTACAAGTTTTTTAGAAAATAAAACCCCCAAGTAGATTTTAAAAAAAGAAAACTAACTTTTTAACTTCAAATTCTGTTAAAACTTTATCCTAGTGCCAGGACGAAGGCAGAGTTTTCAGTGCTTACTGGTGCAGCCCTGTACTTGAGTCTGGATCCCAGCAGCCATGCACTAACAGGCGAGGCATGGGGGGATGCACTGCCATCTGAGAACTGGGAGGCAGACATGAGGACCCATGCAGATCACTGGCCAATCAACCTGGGCAGTTCAGAGAGATCCCACCTCAAAAAATAAAACAGCAAAAGAAAGACAGCAAATGTCAACCTCAAATCTACACTCAGACACTCACAGGTGTGCACAGCCACACTCATCCACACAACACTCTAAACATTTTATTCTCATCTGGAAATCAACTGATTTCACCACCAGAAATAAGAATTTTAGGTAACACTTGACCCAAACATTTGCAAACAGCTAATTTTAATCTGTATATTTGTAAGAATCAACTGCCAATCCCCTTTACTCCAAGTCGTATTTTTAAAGTCCAAGAAACACTAAAAGAGAAAGCCGAGGAAAAAAATAGACTGTTGTCTGCTGAAACCAACGAACATGTATATGCTTGATCAGATATATCCAAGGATTCACACCAACAATATAGAACAGCCAGTATCAAAGACTGCCAAGAAAAAGTTTCACATGTGTACTCTCGGCAATGGAAACAGAGAATGTGAAGTTTCAGGCCAGCCTGAGATATGCAGGGAAGGAAGGGAGGAAATACCAAATTACCACACTGGAGGGTTGAAAAAAGGAAAAAAAAAAAAAAAAAAAAAACCCAAAAAGGGGGACAAAAAAAAAAAAAAAAAAAAAAAAAAAAAAGCCCAAACAGGGTGACATATTAACAGGAATGATTAGGACAACTGTAGTAAATCCTTGGGTCTTCTTTAATGAGGTAACATTTAAGCTAAAGACAAGAACAGCACAAAGACCTACAGAAAGAGGAACAACATTCTAGGCAGAGGATCAAACCTTACATATTCAGGACAGAAAGGGTTAAGCTGAAGCACTGAGCAAGAGTTGAAGTAGTATTAAGTAACATGTAAAAAGAAACACATTAAATAGCATCTAGTGGACCAGAGTAAACAAATAATTTCCCTCTATTTTTTTCCTGTGTGTGACGTATGCATGCGTGTATACATGCAGGTGCAAGGCCAGAGGCTGACATCAGAATGTCTTCTTCAGTTGCTGCTTCTCCACAAAATCTCACCAACTAACAAACAAGCATCTGGTCCCTCCCAGGCTCCTATCTCCACTCCCTAGTGCTGGGTTACAAGGCCTAGATGTTCAGGTGCATGCTAGGAGTGCAAAGCCAGGTCACCAACCAGGTCCCCATTTCTACAGCAGGCACTAACCCCACTGAGCCATCTCCCCAACCCTCTTGACCCTAATGGGAATCCCTACGTTTATGAGGAGAGTTGAAATTATACGATCTACATTTTAGGGTGGCTGCCATCTACAGGATAATAACCCTAAAAAAGAGAACAAGTGGACAAACTGGACAGTCCAAAGTTAACTAGGCATGATGGTTGCAAAGAGGGAAAAGCTACAGATCTAGATTTTGGTTTCACATTATACATATCAACATTCATGAATTTGTTGGGAGTATGGACTATGGAACAAGGAATATGTAAGTAAGAAAAACTGATGAAGATCCCCAAACTCTAATAGCTTGATACTTAAGCATCAGGGAAACAAGACATGTTGAAGGCAAAACAAAAGATGTGTTTGTGGTTTTTATGGCATAATCAGACCATAAAATGTTTGATCCAGAATCTGTAGGCCTCAAAGCCTCAGATGGCTACAACTCAAGTATAAAATTTTAAAATGCCAAGCCTTTTTTGGATTTCAACCAAGGCTGCCTATTAAAAGACTCTTAACTCTAAAGCCCAGCAGTGGTGGCTCAACCTCTAATCCCAGCAGAGGCAGGTGGATCTCTGAGTTCAAGGCCAGCCTGGTCTACAGCGTGAGTTCCGGGACAGCCAGGGCAACAAAGAGAAACACATCTCAAAATAACAAAACAAAAAGAGACTTCAACTCCAACTATAAGAGAGAATAAGTTGCCTTATGAATCTTATCTGTCTCACCACAGTACAGAATTCAGAAAAACAGCCATGTTTTGTGTTTAGAAATAAAACCCATGCTAGGCAGTGGTGTGCATACCTTTAGAGACAGAGGCAGAGTTCAAAGCCAGCCCAATCTACCAGAGTTCCAGGACAAACAGGAACACAGAGAAACTGTCTCAAATAACCAAATAAAAGAATGAATAAATAAACCCATAACTATTTTAGAACCTTTTCTGAATAATGTATCAGACTGGCTAGAAGCAAGTGTATAAAGTGTATCAAGCTCGAGGACACAAGCTTTGTAATCACAGCATTTGGGAGGCCTGAGGAAGGACAAATGTGAGGACCAGTGTGGACTGCCTCAAAACTTATTATTTAGCATGTTGGGACCCAAATTTAAAGCAAATTACTGCCATTCACAAATTTTAAAATCTAAAAGATACACTGTAATACTCAAGTATATTAGGTTCAACTCCAGGCTCACTCATTAAATGACAATTATATAAGTTAATCTTTTTCAAGTTTTAATTTCTATAGATATAAAATAAGGTATTTACAATAATAATTTTTTTTTAAAAGGCTAAGCTTACAGACTGGGACATGGTGTATGCTCAGGCATTAGTTATTATTGGTAGTAGCCTTGTTACAGTTTTTCTGCAGGCTACCTATAAACTTATTTCAAACTACTTCCTTATTTAAGACCAATCTTATGTTTTCAATACAGCATTAACAAATATTCTATGAAAGTAATTTCAGAAATGCTTAATAAAATGTTTGGAAGTTTGATTTAGAATATCACAGAATGAACAAAAACCAAAATTCTGAAAATTAGTAAACATAAATAACGAGAACATGAAGTTCATTTCATTATCTTAGCTTTTTGTTTATTTGTTTTTTTGAGACAGGGACATAGCCCTGACTATCCTGGAATTCACTATATAAACAGGCTGGCTTCAAACTCAAAGCTCCTCCTGTCTGCCTCCTGAGTGCTGAGATTAAAGGTCTGAGCCATTACACTAGGCTTACAATTTTACTTTTGTACCAAAAACTTCCCACAATTAAAAGCAAACTAGATTAGTCACAAACTTTTAGTTTGGTCCAGCTACTTATCACACTACTTTTCATTTTAAAGAATAAACTAAACAGGTTGTGCCATTCCCTGGCTTATGTGACCTTAAGTTTTACACCTTTTGGAATTCATCTCCAAAAATGGAGAAATGATGAATTAAATTGATGCTAGAAAGCCCTAAAACATTAAAACAAATGCAGGTTAGTACTATCACTCAATGTAAGTAATATACTATTACTTATTCATGATCAAGCTGATTCTCAATCTTGAGTATTAAATGCCTGTAATTCTCAATCTTGAGTATACAAAGGTAATACTCAGTATTTTTAAAAATGTTTAAGTAGATACCAGTAATGCACAAACCCACATCCTCCAACTTCAACCACTTACAATTAGTACCCAGATACACACTGGTCTTCTTGGTTCTTTTATTGATCTGTCATGAAAATTACACAAATTTCAGCTAGTGGATAGTATTCAACCAATGATTTCAAATACAGTCCTGGGAATTTCCAATGCAGAGATCCATATGCACCTGAACCACTTCCTCCACTTCTTTCACATCACAGAGATACTCCCCATACTGTTTTTCAACAAAGTAGATAAAACCCTAATAACTGAGCAGTGCTCTTTCCAAGTCAGCTTTCAAGTCCCAGAATTAACTACTGTTTTCTAAGACAAAAGTCAGCTCTAGGACTGAGGGTGTGCTCGGCTGACAGCGCTTTCCAGCATGCACAAAACCCTGGGTTTGAGTCCCAGCACCCCATAAATTGAGTATGGTAGCTCGAGCCTGTTATTCCAATACTAAGAACCTCAGTTTTTCATTATGAACTATTTCAGAGACATACTTTCCATCATGCTAACCTGAATTCGGTTAGGATCAAACAAAAAATGAAAATAAACTGGTCTTTTCTCCGTAAAGGTCCTTTACTGCCTAACAGTAACCCAACTATTCCAGTTAAAGCTAATCTAGAATGCAGATTCACAGTAAGGACAGACATTTTGTTCTCCGTTTTTTTCCTATTAATAGAAAACAAATATCTATGCTGTATCAACATAATATAAATCTGAAGTGACTAACCCGTTTTCATCAGTTTTAGGTACATTTGCTTTCTATTTCGGTCTTTTTTTCTTTTTCAATTCTAAGAGGAAATAAACATTCCGCAGAGAGGGCTGATTCCCAACTCTTACTAGAGAAACCTAACGTGTTGGGTGGGCATGATGCCGCACGCCTATCATCCGAACACAAATACGTGGAGAACCCGTAGTTCAAGTCTCTTGGGCTCACTTTGGGAGACAGCCAATATTCTGGCCACTCTCCCGGCCAAAACAAACCTTAAAACTCAGCAGGAGGCCAAAGTAGTGATGCAAAATCCTATCACTCCGGAAGCTAAGGCAGGAGATTCGCTGAGAGTTCCAGGCCAGCACTGGGAGACTTAAAACCTCAACTTATCTTCCTCACCCATTTACCCCAACAACCACCACGGCCAATGTCCTGAACAAACTCCTAAGGAGTGCCAGCTCTTACCGAAAAGGTATGGCAAACGCTTGTATTACTGGAGAAAGGGGCCTTCTTAGAGGCATCCGTTAAGACCCGAATCCCAGGCTAGAAAACAGTAACCACGCACCGAGTGCTTCAGTCAAGAGTGAGTGAAAGCCTAAAACTGAGCAAGTTGCTAGGATACCAAAACGAGAAACTTTCCCGCCAACAGCCAGACGCTGGGCGGTCGGTTACAAACACCACCTCGGAAGCCTCAGCCTGGCAAGTTAAACCGGGCCTAAATCGACACGTTCCCTAGAGGCGAGGAAGGCGGCGTAACCGCGTCGCGCTAAGTGGTTGATCCGCTCGCTAACTTTGTCGCAGGTCACCGTCAACTTATCCGAGGCCCCGAAGCCAGGCCAGGGCTAAAGACACCTCCCCCAAGGCCAACGACAAGCCCGAAGCCAACATTCGCGGCCGCGTTGCCATAGGCAGGGAAGAAAGGAAGCAGGCACGCTTGCGCAGAGCCCAGCGTAGGGCGCGCGCCGGAGCCCCTGCCAGCAGGGTGGGGGAAGGGCCCAGGAGGCCTGCGCGCGCGCGCGCGGAGGCCTCACGGGCTCCGGACTCGAGCGAGGCTCCCAGGCCGGGCCGCTGCTCGCCCAGCTCCCCATCCCCCACCCCCGAGGGCCACGGCGCCTAAGAACCCGAGGAAGTGATGATGAAACGCACACATAACGGCACGGGGTCTCCCTTCTGGCCTCCCGTCCGTCACCACGCACCGGAGAGTTCCCAACACCCCACCGTCCCGTCTCCACAGCTTTCTCGAGGCGCCCGAATGGAGCGCCAGGCCTACCTGACACGCCGAAGCACGATCCTCGGGGTTCACCTCCGTGGTAACTACACAGCGGCCATTTCCCGACTCCAGGAGGAGAGGAAAACCATAGAGGTAGCCTCGACGCGCTACCTCGGCTCCGTCACTTCCGATTTGGGGCGTGGTCTCCAGAGCCGCTAAATAGCCGGGCGGGCCCCACCCACTCTTCCGCTCCGACGGGGCTGGGAAGCCGCTGTTGAGAAGGTGCCCTAGGCCTTCTGGGAAGTCGCGTGGCCGATCTCGCGAGAAGACGTAGACGGGCCCCACGCTCTCGTCCGCCGGCCCCTCGGCCTCGTTTTGAAGGTATCCTTGACCGTCGCCCCCAGTTTTTACTGCAGTGAGCAGGTGTGGGTCGTTCCGAGACGGCGGCCCAGAGCACGTCAGACGCAGTCTCCCGGAGGAATGGGCCGCGCAGCTCTGTCAGCAGACGCAATCGGCTTCCGCCCGGACGCCTAAGTCGACTGTTAGGGGTTAAACGCACTCGGTGGAGAACCGGACGGACTCGGCCGGCTGCTGAGTCGTGGCGTGTTAACTCGGCCTCCAGCCGTCTGGGCGATTGCGTCACGAGATGGTTCCTAACTTACAGACGCTGAAGCCAGGCTACCCGGGGCTTTATGAAGGTTGGCGTGGACATAGAAGTAAAAGAGGCGAAGCCCGGCCGGGAAACCGCATAGCATAACTCAGTCTGCCAGAGTCAAATTAAAAATATGCAAGCCTGGGTTGATTTGAAACAAATGGAAAAAAAAAACAAAAAACTTTTAAGCGTATTTACTTGGCTATTCTTATCAAAGCTGGGCTACCGGAGGGACTAAAGCCGTTACTTCTTCGATATTTTGGGGCAACGTTAAATCCTTGAAGGATTTCAGAGGTGAAATTAGCAGCCTGTCAGTTAAGTTCAGCATTAGAGTTTGATTCTGATATTTACCCCTGTTCAGGGGCAGTCTTTCCTCACAGTCCTAATCACCAGCTACGTGGAAGTACCGGACTTTGCTGGAATGAATCATGGTTTTAGTTGGGCAATCTACGCATCACCCAGCCCCCACTCTCAGTGTGAAAGCTGAGATCTGTGGTGTGTGCTGGACCCTCATAGGTCCAAAACATTTAGTCTGTAGGAGCTCAGACACATTGTCAAATAGGTGAAGTATATTTAAATGAAGAAAAAAAAAAAAAAAAAAGAAAGAAAGAAAGAAAGGCAGCACAACGTTATATTAATGAGACAGTGGATGCTAATAGCTCTTAATCTATTCAAAACACTTTATAAGTCCTGTGCAATTCTGTTATATGCCAAAAGTTATCTTTTCATCTGAAGCAATGATAATTTGGGGGATCGGGTGCTGGGGATTCAGGCCCTGAACCTAGGGCCTGCCTGGTAGGAAACACAATTGCCCAATTACAGAAGTACACCTTCCTACCCTAACTTTAACTTTAAATCAATCGATATGCTATTAAAGAAGGAAGGCATTGGAAAATACAGATAAATGGATGTCTAACAAGTGAATTAAGCCCTAGATGGAGCTCAGCTGGTAAAGGAACTTGCTGCCAAATCTGAAATGACCTTCTATCCCTGGGACCCACATGGTAGAAATGTAAAAGGGCCCAAGACCTTAGCACAATTGACTCCATGATGGAGATACCATTTGGGCTGTAAAATTCAGCACAAAGATAGCATCACTTGCCAAACTGAAAATGAAGACCTACTCCATCAAAGTCTGCAGTTCGGGGAAAACCTCTACATGTACTAACTTTGCTTTTTTGGCTACTGTCAGACCAATTCTGGTTAACTGTTCTTGTTAATTGAAGCATGTCAACCTAGGATATGGTTTTTGTGCTTAACAGCTCACCTGAGAAAGGCCCCAGGCTCCAGTGGGACTCTGAACACCCAGCCAGCTAATGACTTTCTACTGACTTAAACCTGTGTGCAAGCAGTTTCCTCTACCAAATACTCCACAACAGAAGCAGAGAACAGATATCCTTAGGACAACATACCCACCCATACACTTGCACACAATAATTTTTTTTTTTTTTTTGGTTTTTCAAGACAAGGTTTTTCTGTGTAGCCTTGGCTGTCCTGTACTTGGTTTGTAGGCCAGGCTGGCCTCAAACTCACAGATCTGCCTGCCTCTGCCTCTCTGAGTAATAAATATGTCCATTGTAGAGGAACTTTAATTCAGAACATGGCTGCTCTGGCAAAACCTAGGTCTGTGTGATCCAGCTGGAATACAGACACACCTTTAATCCCAGGAGACAGGGGCAAGCAGATCACTGAGTTCAAGGCCAGCCTGATCTAGAACATGTTTCAAGTAAAGAAAAGTTTAGGTCCAGCCATGGCGGTACATACCTTTAATCCCAAATAATTAAGGTAAAGTTAGTTTGTAGAGGGAAGAATCCATGTTTGAAAATGATGTTTAATGAAGTAACAAAAACATTGACGAATCAGAGAAAAGTTTGACAATAGAATATTCCCAACTCAATAGAAGAGAAAAGAGAGCTTACATAAGGGAGCTGCACATAGAATGAGTGAGGACACCGTTTACAAGAGAGAGACTGAAGAGAGAAGCCAGAAAATGAGTCAGAAGATTAGAACATACTGCTAAAGTTGTATGAGGCCAACCAGAGCAATTCAGTCAGAAGCTGAGCCAGTTTGAATCAAGTCAGTGTGGAGAGGAACTTGAGCCAGAACAGCTGACTTGAACCAGCCAACCAGAGCTCAGTAAGAACAAAAGGCTTATATAGCTGTAAATCTCAGATGCTGAAAACATTCTAGGCCTAGATCACATTCTATGGAGGCTAGAAGCTTCCAGGACTAGGTCTACGTTAACATTCAGAGGCAGTAAGCCTCCGAGATGATAATCAAATCGGGAATAAATGTTATTTTTACAGTACATGTACTACAGTTTGGTGTGGAATGTCCCATGTGTTCAGGTGGTCAGGACTTGGTTCTCAGCTTGGCACTAACTAAAAAAAAAAAAAAAAAAAAAAATTCCTGGTGGAAGGAAGTTAGCTCCCCTTGAAGGAGTCATTTTCTGCCCTCGCTGTGGGTGCCATGAGGTAAGAATATTTCTGCACTGGATACTTCTCTCATGATGTGGTGCTACAAGCCCAAAGCGACACTACCAAATCATCAGGTACTGAAACTTCCAAAAGTGTGAGCCAAAACCTTTCCCCGTTTTAAGATGATTGTTTCAGGTATTTGCCAGCATTTGAACTCTACCTGTGATCATACAGGGATGCTGCCAATTTCATAACATTTAATATTTTTATTAATATTTAATATTAAAATTTTAGGCAGGGCCTCACTGGGTAGCCCTGCATCATATTAAACAACTTTTACACTCTGCATTCCATTGAAAGGTCACCTTTTATGTTACTTGTCTCAGAAAAAGTAAAGAAATGGGTAGTTACCCCAGTCCTATTTCAGGAAGTTTTTGTTTTTTTGTTTTTTTGAGTTGGTCTTCAAAAGAATATGGTTGACTTTGGGGGAGGGTGATAATGCTGTCCTGTGATGGGTAATTATCAACCCCTCTCTTCAACGCCGTTAGCCTGGCGTTCTAAGTTCTATTCAGTTTCACAGGGTTTTTGTGTTTTGTTTTTTTTTAACTGCTGTACTGAGGTGCTTCCCTCCTCTTCATTCCGTTGGAGGCAGGCAGAGAATCACCATTCTTCAGATGGAGCAGCCTCCCCTGTGAACTTACAAACCCAGGTTCTCAGTTCTGCCATTGAATTGTCTAATCAGAAACCCTGGAAGGCTACAGAGTATTTGCCTAGTCCGCAGAAGAACCAATATACAAGAAACCTCAAACACATGAGGGTGTTTTGTCCACCCATGTCTTAAAAAAAAATAAATAAATAAAAAACTCTGGGAAGAGACCCGGGCGCCCTTAACAAATCATGGAGGTGGTTGTAACGAGTTCTTTGAACACCTACGAAGTGGACCCATCTCCTGCTGATCACTTGTAAATAAGATGAGCAAAGACTCAAATGAGCGTTCAACACAGTAGGTCACATCTGTGAAGGCTACTTCACAGACAGTCATGGTCCTGTAATTAAAAGGAAGTGAGTCTGACACTGGGAGAAAAACACGCTTTCCGCGGAAGTTGTGTGTCCCTAGGCAACTTAACATCTGAAAGCTTCCAAGATTGGCCCAAGTGACCACCGGTAGGAAGAGCTAACCTGAGGATCCGCCATCCTCTTCCTCCCCTCATTCGCAAATGGGACCACAACTCTACTCTCTTAGCTTCAAAGGCAGTGATACCAGGAAACCATTAAGCTTTCAAGGCAAAGGTAGCAGGATAAAAAAAAAAAAAAAAAACAACTCCCATACCGGAAGTTCTCCAGCAGGGGGAGGCAGAGGGTAAGTGTGGGGCACCAGGACTTGAGAAGGGGCTGAAGGGGGCTGGAGAGAAAGAATTGGGATAGGGAGATCTCAGATGCTTGAGGATGTTTTATTTATCAGTGTCATTAAAAATCACAAATTGAGCCAAGATATGGGGCACACGTCTTTAATCCCAGCACTTGGGAGACAGAAGCAGGCATATCTCTTGACTTCAAGGCCAGACTGGTCTACAGCCCAAGTTCCGGGAGAGACAAGGCTACACAGAAAAACCCTGTCTTAAAAACAAAATTACAAATTTTATCTCATGCTACCTCACACAGCTTTTGGGATGATTTTATAATAGAAATAAACTGCTGTTGAGGTTTGACCGGAGAACTCAGGGATGCAGTACTCATTCTGGGAAGGCAGCTGTAATTGTGGTTACCCAGGCATTTCTCCTCTCGCCCTCAGATTTCAAGCTGCAGGTGCATCCGATGGTTCCTCCTGAGTGGCTCTTGTGACCTACATTGTGACTTTGTTCTCAGAGATGGAAGTGGGATAAACAGGACTGCCCCAGTGCCCTTACCCAGCAATCAGGGAGCAGTGTGCTCTAGACTCTAGTGCCAGTTGATGGTGGGCCTGAGCACTCTGCAAGGCGGAGGGGATGGGGATGCTCATTTTGTATTGTTACCAGATTAGATTTTCTTAAGGCTAAAATAAAACAAGGACATTGGACATTCCAAGAGAATATTCTTATATCAGGTTAACTCCAGGCTGGGTGCTCTCTTTAAGGAGTGGACAAATTGCA